AAAAGGGTTGTGACAATTCATATTTAGTTCCGAGAATTAAATGAAACGTTGTTTTTTAATTCTCGGATGTCTTTTGAGATCCGTCGCAATGAGTTTTTGCGTTCCGATTTACGGAAGAAAGAGAATGGTACTGAAATTAATGCACTTACCTTGATCTTTTTCAAATCAGAATTTTAGTACTGGAAAGTATGATGGTTTGTCTATTTAGTTTTTTAATTGCAGCGGCAGTGCTGTAATAATAAGGAACCGGTGCAACGATCGATTAAGGTTAACGATTAATACAAAAGTTAACAGTATGTGCTAACATATAATTATTATACTTAATACACTTAAAAATTAAGAAGGTGATCCTATAGTGGGTTGGTAAGGGTTTTAAACTAGAAGAATAAAGAAGAAAACAACTGCTCTATAAAATGAATACCGATTTCTATTTCTCTCAATGTTCAACAATCAATTCAAGTCACAATAAAACTGCAAACATACTTAGGGCCAGTTTTTTGATCCGTAGTAAAAAATGGTTTTACCATTTGTTACATTAACTATAGTTAAATGAATAACCATTGGTAAAATCGTAAATGCGTTTTTCAATGCCTTTTTTAACTATAGTTAAACTTAACAATTTGTCAATTTGTTGCCAGTGCAATGAGCAATGACATCCCAAAAAATGTGGTTCTTTTTTGTGGGGAACATTTATTTTGTATAACAACACTAGACATATTGAGTGAATGAAATCCATTTTTGCCATCTTCATTCGTTATTCGCGCTTTGAAGAGTTTGAAGTGTCAAATTAATCTAAATAACACGATATAAATAAAGTTGTTTTTCTGTGATTTAATACGGTTTACACTTTTTACGATACTTAAATATATAAATAACGATGTCCGCAAACAGCCAACGGTCAAATAAGTAAGTACAAACATATTTTCGTGTTATTTATTCCGGTTTATCTTGTGTTTCGTAATAGAAAGTAATACATTTATGTTTTGTTAAAGGGACCATACTGCTAACTTCGCCAAAAAAGAAACTGCCAAACTGGTGATGCTTCTCAAGGATTACACAGTCGTAACCTGCAAACAACTGATCACTGCAGCAATCTACAAATAGATGCAGCTTGGAAATCTCTGAGACGTTTTCAACTCAGATGGGTCTAGACACCGAAGTGTTACATTTAATGAAGGTGTAGGCACATTTTTATATTTATTCTTGTATAGCTGTGTCCTACAACAAAAGGAAAAAATCTTTTAACCCTTTGGAAACAAGGAAGCGGATTATGATCCACACGGATAAAAAAAATTGAGTTTTTGAAACAAAGACAAATAAGAGAGGATGATTTGTTCAATTATGCTAAGGAAGAGCATCAAAAACATTTGCTGCACCAATGAGAGGCCCACCAAAAATTCATACTGCATAAAGAGGAAGTGCACCAAAAAGTGATGCAGCAGATGGAAGAAAGGCACAATAAATATATGTAGCAGCAAAAAGAGTTGCATCAAATTGAGGTGAAATGCAAGAAGAAACAATTAGAAAATATTTAATTGCTACTTTAGGGTTTCATGTAAATTTTGTAATGTTTTTTTAATAAAAATGGTTTGTATGTAAGTTATAATTAAACAGTTTATTAATCAAGTCAAATGTTTTATTTATAAATTCTTGTAAATAAAGTAGGTAGATGCTAACTCACAAATGTAATAAAAGCCCTAAAGAATATCATAGGTCCCTAACTAATGTGTAGCTGTAGATTTTAGTATAAGTACATACTTGTATGTACTTATAATAATTATAAGTTGATATTATTAGTAATATATAAATAATATTAACTCTAATTCATTATGTATTCTATTGCCTATAATATTAACTTATAATAATTAGAAGTTAATATTATAGGCAATAAAACACATAATGAATTAGTAATATACTTAATTATATACTGCTGCAGTTCTGTAGCTAGTAATGAAGCAAAATAGGTTTGTATGAGCTGCTGTCTATATATACTCTTGTTCTTGTATTTTATTTAATTATAATAATTATAAGTTAATATTATAGGCAATAAAACACAATGAATTAGTAATATACTTAATTATATACTGCTGCGGTTCTGTAGTTAGTAATGAAGCAAAATAGGTTGGTATGAGCTGCTGTCTATATATACTCTTGTTATTTGGCAGTTTAAGATCATTCCCAATTTCAGTAACAATCCAGAGCACTGTTCCCTTCGATAGGGGGTAACAGTGACAAAAATCTACATCATCCCAGGTTTCTAATGGCGGATGACATTGCCTAAATATTTTTGGTCACTCATTAACACATTCTCATATAATATTATCGTCTTCTTCATCGTCTCATTAATTAAAGTATCTCAATATGTTTAAATTCATCATTAGATAGTAATAAACGTATTTATCATAGTTTGATTTCTGTGACAAACAGCTGTTACTATATAAATTACCAGCGGCCATCTTTTTAACCCTCCGATACTGAGTAGTTAACTTTTTTGACTAATGGTTAGATATTTTACCATTGGATGCTCTTACCACGGATCAAAAAACGCATTTTGCTGATATTTAACTAATAGTAACGATTTTTTACCAATAGTTGAGTTAACTACGGATCAAAAAACCGGCCCTTAGTGATGAAATTTTTGACTTTTGGCACCGGATGGGCGGGGCAATCGCATATTTGCACCTTAATAAGGTTTATAGTTAACACAATAAACCTTATTTCTTAAATGACTGATCATAATACAAACTTATACAGGTGTTGGTAGCCTTATTATGGCATAATGCTCTTCATGCGTCTATGAGTCATGTCTTGAGATGACTTTGCATTGCCCATAGATGCAGGCTTTCCGACCGAATAAGCAATATAATATTCATGTTATTTACGTTCAAACCACTGCTGGCAAAATTTACCTTGTTCAAACAAAGGCTTCTACAAAACTTAGTCCTGCTCCATTTTAACGAAATAAGTGTTTCAGTGACACATTGGCAGAATGACAAGCAGTCTTTAGAAACCACCGATATCAGTAGGTTTCGACCTATTTTCTATTACTGCACGGCCATTCACCTACGGCTCATTCAAGGTGTGTGTTTCTACATTCAAAACACAATTTTTTTTACTGTTAAAGTTTAAATGAGTTTTTTTGTAATAAAGTTTTACCAGGACCGTTTTTTCATGACGCGAGACATAATTATATTTATAAATAACGAGTAAAGCGAATTTCCGCCCAACATTACCAAACACTTTTGTTCGAAATAAGACGGAAGCGAAAGAAATGAGAGCGACTCGTACACGATTATATACGTACGTGTATCAGTGTCGAGTGTCGGTGACCGCTGCAAGTGTAATCACCTGGGACTCCAGAAGCATGCTTTCCGTACCATTTAAATCTTATCATAATTCAAATTTTAAGGAACACTAAAAAATACGTAGTCTTTCTAAAATCATCAAACAACATGTAAGAATTTCTTATTTTATCCGTTTGAATATTAATTTATTAGAAAATTTTCAAGGTTATTGTTGAAAATAAAACTACAGAGTAAATTTAGTTATTTTTATTTCTGGAATAATTCATAGGTACACTTTTCCAGAGCTTACCTAATGAATCTAGTAATTTGAAGGGCCAATCTTCTTCTATCCCCGCTGAAATACCAGCAAGCACTAAAAAAGGCAACCTTGATTTAATTGAATATAATTTAACCTTCATCGAGCCCTACCTACCTACTATCGATTGAAAAAGAATATTCTGGCCTAAAGCAAAAATCAACCGCATTTCAGAAATCATTTAAACAGGGTAAATGGGCAGATTCATCTGATAATAATTGTTGTGAGAAACAATACTAAATATCATTCAAACTGGACACTGTTATTTTTATCGAGTTTCACGTGCACGCTGTCTATTTATAATTTAACGTCTTTGGAGCGGTGTGAATTTTAAAAATTCTGCTAATTATAAAACATTTTAAGCAATTGGGTATTAAGAGCGTTACTTTTGCTTTTAAAATATAACACTAACGGATACACAATATCACTTTAATTTTAAAAACGTAGTACGAAGTTAAGTCCGTTTATTATAATGCTGTAATGTGTTATAATTTACTCTTATTCTTATAAATCATATAATGCATAACTTATAACAGGTAATCATAAATTCCAGCCAAATAACAGTCACTAAACTAATTTTGTTGCGGTTAATGTCAACCGTAAGATATAAGAAAAGTTCAAGAGCCACTAATTAAGTAGATGAGAGGCGTTCAATAAATAGTTAGGTATATTGCGACACAATCCGCTTGTAAAAGCACAGCTCAGACAAATATATATAATAAATAATAAATAATAAAAAAAAGCAATCAAAGACTTGTTTGTCTTTTAAAAAAAACATTGTCTCAGCGGACCTTCATTACTGTATTTTTATAGCAGAAGAAACGAAGATTTCAGATTAGGTACATTACGATGACTTTGTACGCAGGACCAATTACAATGTTCTCGCGCTAAAGTCTAAGGTTGCGATTGCCATTCAAGAAGCTGGCTTCGAATTGATGGAACATCATTGATTTGACCCAGTGATTTCTACTTATTTCCGTGGTTAAAGGAGCCATAAATGACGATGAAGACGACGCAGTAGTCGCCGCGGTCCACGATGTATAAGGGATCAGAAAGAAGTTTAAAAAAAAGGGAATTTTAATTTAAAAAAAAAACATAAACAGTGTATAAACTTGTCAAAAATAAAATAACATTTAATAAAAGATAGCCATTGCGTCATACTTATTTTCACTTTTTATTGAATACCACTAGTATAATAATCATGCGTTTAAATACATACAATTGGTATCTATTGTTGCAGGTTCAGAATAGAGTAGGGGCAATCGGCATAATAATTAAGTATTTTTCTTTTATTAAATTACTGAACAAAAAAAATATGCTGCAACGGACTAAGTTAATATTTGCATAAATTAATTCATCGTCGATAGTAAAAATTGACAGTGGCTCAGGATCAGCAAAAGATGTCGCTGGTGGCGCCTAGGAGGGTGCAGTTGGATTGGACCAATTCAATACCATGGTGAGTATTCAAGTTTAGCAATTATACCTTTTTCAAGATGATTTTTCGAGATTAATTCTTACTTTTTACGGGTAATAATAGGGCCAGCGATTTGGTCAAATTCACGACGCTATAGATCTTAAAGACAATTATTTGAAATAAAAATAGATAATTATTGAACATTTTTATATAAATGGTGGTCAAGAGGTCACTGGTCACACGTTTAAGTTATTTTTTATTATAAATTCAAAGGTTATTAATTATTATCCTTTCAAAATCATTCCAATACGAACTTCACTCGGTAGCGAAGAAATAATCCGTCAGGCGTCAGCTGAGCGAATGTCAAATGCGATGAGACAACTTCATACTAGTGAAAACCTGTCATGGTCGCTCGATCGATGTGTGTCTCTGTCTTGTGTTAAATTCGCGAAAATTGCGATAATAATTAATATGTCGCATAGAACGAAGAATAGGTCCAGTAACGCAAATTCCACAGTAACACGCGCGATACAATAAAAAATATTTAAATCGTTGTCTAGTGTGTGTCATTTACTCAGTGAAATTTCAACGGATCTAAATTTATTCACGAAGCAGGCACCTAAATTTACTCTGGTGAGATCTCTATTTCAATTAAAACTGCTGTCAATTTAGCTTTTAAATATTATGCTTATTAAAATCAGTGCGTTTTTAAATAGTTTTTATATAAATTTTACTCCAAGAATTTGAAAAATCGATTTTATGTGGGTGGGTAGCAATGGAACGTCCATCTCGCTCTATTATAATCCGATCGCGTGAAGATGTGACGTAATTTAAACAAACTGCATAGCGGTGTAGTGCAGGTTATATTGGTTGATATGCTTATTTATCCCTTTCTCTCATCTGTCTAACAATTTTTAATTTGATGTGAAGAGATATTTTTAATTCTAAACTTTAAATTGAATAAAAAAATACATATAATATATTACAATAGAATTATTATTTTTCAATTATCAGGCAATTAAGGATAATTCTTTACTGATAAAATTAATCTATATTTTTGGGTCAGTAGAACTGACAGGGAAACTGTTTTATCCCGGCTAAGTGCAATTGTAATTTTATGTCAAAACTGATCATAAGTAATCCATTGGGATTTTTGCCTTTATTTGAAATGAAAATGAAAAATGTTTATTTGTATCTCAAATTTTACATTAAATACATGAGTTGAGACAGCCCCCGTAAGTAGTCAGAGACACTTGTGTTGGGGTTGGCTCGCTACTTCCCTTATTTATACAATATTGAGACAGTTGTTAGAAAAGAATACAAAATTATTTGGCATTTATTTGAAAATAAATTTTATAAGGGTTTCATTGCATTTCAATATTCAATCAGTAATTTCTTAAAGACACTGAATAAACCATTATTATTATAAATATTCCTCTTATTTATGAGTTTCACTTGGTAACTCCTATATAGCTGTCCACTGTTACTTTGCTTATAGTGCTTCAGTATTAATAGAAAATTTTATTGATTAAGTCCAACATAGAGTGAACAATTTTAGTTAAATTTAAAAAGTAAAGTTGTGAGTTAATTTTGCAAGCTGTTAATTTACATTTTAACACACATAGTTGTCTTTTTCCATATTTAGATTATTTTATTTCGGGCAACAAGACTCGTGAATAAATACTATATAGACATACTTGATACTTTAAGCAACTAAGCTTTGCTATATGTAGGAATGCATGCATTCAACACACAATTATGGAAGCCCTGATTTTCTAGGAAAATATCAATTACTAGTGATAAGGTGTATTAGTTATCTTATATAAATACCATTAAGACTTCCTGTCATACTAATGTGGAAGACTGCTGTTGTGGCAGTGTATGAATAAAGAAAAAAATCTTACTAACACAACTTATCTAACTATAAAGACACGTAACCTTATATGAATACAATAATTATGGCAAATTATTGTATATGCTGTTGTAAATTTTCTACAATACTTAGCTTAAATGAGGGTAATGGTAATTAATAGTCTTAGTATTCTATGTTTTGGTACTATGATTTCATGTCCGTCAGACTACATGATGTGCACTTATATTAACATCACCACACTAGTTACAATTAACTTAAAGGTTTAGTTCTCTTTAGACGTCTTGTTCTAAACATGTCACAGAGTTGGGTTACTTCAACATTCACATGATTATTTAGTCTGTTTAAGTGACCTAAGGCAAACCATTACACCATATTTGAGACTGTACGCATATTAAGATATGAAAAGGGAATACTTTAATTTTTGATAAACCATGGTGTATTGACAATGTCCGAAAGCTGTTTTTGAGCTATTATTGCAAATTACCATTGTCCTATTGCACGTCTCGCAGTGCTCTACTCTCGGCATGTCAAAAAACCCAGTCTTTCGAAACTTGAATGCCTTTTTTCTTACTAATATAACACTTACAGGATAATATGAGTGCACTAAAATTGAGTTAAATAATCTATCAAGCACATATGGTATTTTTTATGAACAATTATTTTGTTTAACATAGTAAATAATAACATTAAATTAAATAATTAAATAATAAATTAAAATCAATCATTCTTGGACGTACGTCAGTCTGTGTTTATGGTTCCATGTATGTGGCAGAGAAATTGGTCGAAAAATTTATCGTACCAGAATACTTTTTTCTTATTATATAAACTTATACCCTGGGCTGATTCCTAGTTAATATTAGCGTTCTAAGTACTGTCGTTTAATTATAATTTGTAAAAAACTAAAATACGAATTTTAGTATATTTTTTCCTCACCTTAGAGTTATGGCGCCACTTTATATTTTTTTATTATATTAAGTAAGTAGTAAGAAGTACAAATAAAAAAAATAATAAATGTAAACAAATGATTTATTATTATTTTCTTTTTTAAATGTGAATGACCGCTATGAGGCGTGCACTTTTGGATTTTCCAAACTATTTCTAAATTGCTCTTTGCTTTACAGACCCAAAGATTGCTTTTATTACTTGCTTATAAAGAAGCAGGAATGGAAGTGTCTTCTTATGCAGTGACTTGCAATATTTATTAAATATACATATTTCTAAAAATACTGCAGTAAATATAATAGTAAAGTAATTTGTATTGATTGATTGATAACTTATGATTAGTATGTATAGTATTGACTATGTTTTTTTAACTTGTTACTCAACTAAAAATATCAAATATAAATCTAATCATATTTTTTTAATTCAAATAAATTGTAGTTAAATAAAATTTTAGGGAGCAGGCTGGGTGTGATCGTGACCCGTACGCTGACGTCGCGCGGCACCTCTCACATCAATCAAGTAAGAGATGCAGAACTGTATTCCCAAAAACATTTACTCTATTTGTATAAATTGCTTCAGGGATAGACCGACGTGTCCTTACGCTTCTGTTTTCAGAATCCTCGTCTTCGTCGGCCGACACAGCCTCACAAGGTTCCGGATCAGCAGAGCAGCCTAAACCACGCAAATATGAGCCGCCGGTAAGTTACTATGGCGCCTACTTTATGCTCTGGACTAAAATTGTGCATTCAATAAGGCCACGCGTACACGAAATGAAATAGACTTAAATGGGTTCTGAAAATGCGTAATACATATATTTTTTGTATATAATATTTCAGAAACAGGAGCGTCGCGCGGAGGTCTGTCCGGCGAGAGTGCAGCCCAACCCGCTGTTAAGGTAACCCCTCATTTATATTTGTAAAAAAAATCAATAAAATGTAATTATGTAATGTTAATGTTCCTCATCTGGAGTAAAGCCGACCGTCAGCGATCAATTGATTGCGATTGAAACAAACATACATCTACGAAGTTAACTTCCAGTGGTGGTACAAAATTGGTGTTTTTCTCTCGTGATCATTTTTATTTATTATATTCATTATAGGCGAGTAGTCGATCGGTCTACTGTGCCCGACACACGCCGACGCCGATTCCTCGAAATTTTCATCATTGGTGCACAGCCGTGATTCGAACGCTGACCTCAGGGTAGAGAGGCACACGCTCGAGCCACTAGGTCGACAATAACTTATTAAATACACACATACATAATGTCGGCAGAAACCCGATAAGATCTTTGAATAATGAAACCACAATCAAAGCAAACGGATCACTGCTCCAAGGATACGACAAGCTGCGTGTAGAATATATTATTATCAATAAACGGACCGTGACTATTTTGGAGTTCCAAGAGCTTTTTGAAGGTTTTTTTTTCAAGAAATTACATCGAACAGATCGCGGACCCTTCCCAACTTCGGCGGCAAGTGTTCCCGCGAAGTTTCCCGTTGTGACACGTCCCGTCGCGCGCATCACATCACCATGGCGACCGAAGACCTGCTGCAGCCGGGACACGTCGTCAAGGAGAGGTGGAAGGTGAGCTCTTTCGGAGTACATAATGTTCGAGCCGCATAAATCAGTTTCATTACGTATATACGTCTCTCGGGGGCTCGTAGGTGATGAAGAAGATAGGCGGCGGCGGCTTCGGCGAGATCTACGAGGGTCTGGACCTGGTGACGCAGGAGCAGGTGGCCCTGAAGGTGGAGTCGGCCAGGCAAGCCAAGCAGGTGCTCAAGATGGAGGTGGCCGTTCTCAAGAAGTTGCAGGGTGAGACTTTCGAACATTTATCGGAGTCGTATCCTCCGGTAAATGCTGATTGACGTCGTCGTCTGCGCAGGCAAAGAGCACGTGTGCCGCTTCATCGGCTGCGGAAGGAACGCTCGCTTCAACTACGTGGTGATGCAGCTGCAGGGCCGCAACTTGGCCGAACTGAGGCGGGCCCAGCCCAGGGGCGCCTTCTCCCTGTCCACGACCCTCAGGTGCGATTCCTCGCTTGACGACCCGTGTCCGTCACTTCCCTTCCTCTACTAAGGTTTCTTAAACTCTTCCCAGGCTCGGCCTCCAAATACTCAAGGCGATAGACTCAATCCATTCGGTGGGCTTCTTGCATCGGGACATCAAGCCGGTGAGTCGGGCTCTCGACGAATATGTCATAGATATGGGGCGGTTCGTTAATTTACAATTTCACCTCGCAGAGCAACTTCAGCATCGGGCGGCACCCGTCCAACTGCCGGCGCGTGTACATGCTGGACTTCGGGCTGGCTCGCCAGTACACCACCAGCACGGGGGCCGTCAGACCTCCCAGGGCCGCGGCCGGATTCAGAGGTACGCTCATCGCCCGCGCGTCTCTCGCGTACTCGAAGCGACAAATACAAATAAAATGAATCGGTGTTCGGTCACAGGCACGGTCCGGTACGCCTCCATAAACGCCCACAAGAACAAGGAGATGGGCAGACACGACGACCTCTGGTCGCTCTTCTACATGCTGGTCGAGTTCGTCAACGGCCAACTGCCCTGGAGGAAGATCAAGGACAAGGAACAGGTATCGACCCTGGACTCCGATGGAAATGTCGCTTATATTTGAATGTACCCGGTTCTATCTACTAGATAATCTCTCGCGCAGGTCGGTCTCATGAAGGAGAAGTACGACCACCGCCTTCTGCTGAAGCATCTTCCGTCAGAACTGCGCCAGTTTCTGGAACACGTGCAGAGTCTGGAGTACGCCGACGCCCCGGATTACGGGATGCTGGCTGCTCTCTTGGAGAGATGTTGCAAGAGACGCGGCATTAAGGATACCGATCCCTATGATTGGGAGAAAGACGTGAGTTATTTAGATTTTATCTTCGTGTTTGTCCGCGACCGAGGAAACGGAAACGGAAGGAGTGTGCTGTGTGACGCACACACTATTGTCGGTATTAAACGTGTAAAGAGAATGATCTCTTTAATTTGAATATTCGCGCGCACTGCTAGTTCGTGAGTGAGCCGCGTCGTGTCACGTCAAGCTAGCTGCCATTGTCAAAGATGTAAAGGACAAATATGCTGAGATCGTTGAATTGTATTTTAATCTTATTTGTTAATTAATTTCATACTTAGTTAAGCTATATGCATCGAGAGGTGATAACAATAAACTTTTATTGTCGTTTCTTTACTTACTCTCACCTGTAATTGTGTTAGTCTTGTAAGGATTGTATCAGTGTGTAACCTACTCGATAAATAAAATTGCATTCTTTACTTACAGAGAAACAAATAGAAGTTTTATTTAGCCTCTTGCAATTGAAATACAAACTATTGTCTTATAAACGTATATAATCATTGGACAGAGTGTTCCCGCTCGCGCTCGAGTCCCTCTCCAGGCCGCTCCAGAATTACCGCTGCAGCCTGACGTACCGGACAGGGTGAGCGCATTATTTATTGTTTTTACTCAAATTGAAATATGTTTTTATATTTCGCTCGTTACCACCGCAGACGTCTCGTCGACGCGAGCCTGATGCGACGACGGCGGCGGGAACCGACACTCAAAGCAACCTGAGGACGTCGCCGAGACATGCGCACGCGCACCTCAACGGATATGTCAGTAGTCTATTGCATATTATCATTTCGTGAAATATAGCTGGTGTTAAACCTTCTGTGAATTTCTAATCGATTCGTGTCGACGATTTCAGTCCGCCACCGTGGAGAAAGCGGAGAGGGAGAAAGAGAAGGAGCCCGAGCCGAAGACCACTCCGGCGCCTTCCCCCGACAGGCACGTCAAGGTATCCGTCGTCCTATCGTCCGTCTCTCGATCGGAGCGAAGGTGAAACGTTAATCCCGACGACTTGTCCTTCGCAGGAGACCTCGACCTCGGCCCTGGCCAGCAGCACGCCCGGCCGCCCCGAGAGGCAGAGCGTGCCGCCCTGCAAGCCTCGGCCCAACGCCACGGGTAACCGTCGTTCGTTCCTCGGAAGCTCGACCCTATCGGCGTTCGACGTCGCGTCTAAGCTGTCCTTTATTCTTGTGCAGGTGCTCCGACCTTGGCCCGCCTTCGAGTCGTCACGGCTCCGCCCACCTGCGTCCAAGAGTTGGCTCAAGCCTCGCCTTCGATCACCGGTAACGACAGCCTCGGCCGCGTCTCCGGCGTTCGGTTATCTCGTTCGTAACGCCAAATTTTAACAATTCGACCCGAACGCGTAGAGGTCTGTATGGTCGATTAACCGTGTCTAATGTGACGAACGTCCGCAGGCGAGACGAGCAGCCCGCGGCTGGGCGCGGACGTGGACAGCGTCCACTCGGACACGCACTTCAAGCGAGGTGAGGCGGTCGGGCGTGGCTCTCTCGGGTCTCTGTGTCGTAGCGGGCTAAAGACTGACGTCCGCAGGTCGTCGCGGCGGACGTCCGACTCGCGCCGAGCAGAGCGTGACGCAGTGCGCCGTGATGGAGGACGAGAACGCGTCGCAGGCCGTCACGCGAGGGGCGGCGCTCACGCTCGTCTCGCTCTGGAAGTCGCAGTTCGACGACTCCTCGGAGACCACCGACAACGACTGGAAGCACGAGCACGCACAGGTGAGTTTGATCTATTTATTTATTTATTTGGGAAACAAAACAGATACAATAAAAAAATATAACACAGAACAAAGCAAAACAAAACATACCGGTAGCTATAATAAAGAAGAAAGATACAAGGATTAGGACATTAATAGTTGTTTTAAATTATTCTTAAATGAAGCAGTAAAGGAGTGAGAAGGGTCTCTGGCTTCTCGATCTCCGATCTCTGCCTCAAATATCTCAAATTCCTACAGTCCCCGGAGCACCGTCAACGAGCTTCGGCGGTGTCCTCCTCGAGCAAGGAGCCTCGCACCCAACCGCCGCTGACCCACACTTCGCAGCACCACACCCACACGCAACCCACTCTGCCTTCGCAGCCCACGCAGATCAACGCGGTCGTGCCCGGCATCAAGGAGCCCGTCGAGCCGTCTCCCGGTCCGCAGGTGCGTCTCTCGGCGCGACGACGGACGTCCGAAAGCGAGTGAAATATCGAAACGTTCATTTCAGGTTGAGAAGGAAAAACCGGAGAGGGCGGAGAAGACGGAGAGCGCGAAGAAGGGGCGAAGTCGGTGCTGCCTGCACAGCGCGGGGGTGGAGAATTTCCCCAAGGTCGTCCCGCTCCTGCCCCGCAGCTGGTCCTTACCCGCTATCGGTGCGTTTTATACTAAAGCACTATTCTAAAATATCTATCTTCTCTCCCCGCGACTTCCCGAAGCTCTCGGGTTTAAGAGGAGTGTCAGATGTCGGCTTTGATCTGTGCAATAAACTTATGTCGATCTCTGAATTACTGTTTTTATTGTAATGTTTAGCGGTAGTTCGCACGTAAGAAATGAAACTTTCATCAGAGTCGTTCGTTCGGCGATCGTTCCAGGCTCGCACGTCCGCGACATCCGGCCTCCTCTGCTCCAGCAGGCGTCCTTCGACGACGGCACCGGCGCGGCTCTGCGGTACCGGCTCGACGTCATGCGGGGCGTCGCCGCGAGGCTGGAGCCCCACGAGCCTTCGCCTCGGCGGGTCGTCCGCCGCGGGAGCTTGCCGGTCAGCTCGGCGTTTCCAGTCTTAGAGTCGGACGCGTCGACGGACGGCCGGAGCTTCCGTTTGAAATGCGTCGATCGATTGCAGAGCGTGTCGAATTCGGGCGCCGGCGAGGCTCCGGCGTCCGCGCCCCGAGAGGCCACCGTCTCCAGCCGCCTCGAGATCAGGGTCCGCCGCGACGACGACGCCTCGCCCCTGCACTCCGGTAACCCCCCGCTTCTCGATCCGCCGCGAGACCTCTCGAAAAGACATCGCGACCTAACGCCGTCTTATCTCTCCAGCGGTGCGCATCCAGTCGGTGGTGGTCGGAGCCAACGAGGAGGCCTCCGTGTACTACGACGCCACGGACAGGCATCGCGACAAACGGTACGGACCTCGCGATCGTCTCGCCTCGAATCGAAAGAGATCTTTCGGCGTAACTGATGTATAAACTGGGTTCACGCAGGTCTTCCACTCGCAGCGCGGAGAAGAGCCGCAGCGGAACGGAGAGGCCGCGACCGGATCTGCCCGACAGGTTAAATCTATAGAAATTGACGATGACGGGTCGACCCGACTTCCGAAGCTGTCTTCAATCGAGTCTCATTTCAGAAGCGGTTCCGTGCGTCGCGACGCGAGCGGCGCAGGCGACGGATCCAGTCTCAGAGACGTGAGTGTTGCCCCATTTCAGTCCAAGCGAAGTTTGCTGTTTATGATTCAGTGGTCTCAATGCTGATGTTTTGTTATCTGATAAAAATAGAATTTCGTTATCGAGGATAAGAGAACGTAGATAATATCTAATTCGATCTATAATAATTTGTCACCTTCATATAGTCGGAGAGTTATTTGCTTGCAATATATTTCCATCGTAATGATTGTATGGCTTTTAGTCGAGGCGCTTTGGCGACTGGCGGCGATGTTGTAGAAACGACTATTAATCACTACGAAAACGGAAAATTTCTCTACCGACGTCGGTTACGATACGCAATAGCTGTATTCTAAAAATATTAATCGCCTCAAGCTCTCGAACTACGTCGGTCGATTTAAATAGGCGATCCGGTGAAATAAAGTTTATTTGACGATCGACATGCTCCTGCCGCTTCTGGTGTCTCTTCTGACCGTGGCGAACGCTCGAGTGCAGACCGTGAACGGTAAAATAAAACTGGAAATCGGCGTGACGTCGCGATGTGGTGACGCGCACAACTTTATAAACGCTTTCGCGCCCGTGTACGAGAAATACGAACGATTCTTGGACGTGGAGTTCGTGCCCTGGGCGAGGACGCAGCGCGGCGAGACCGAGCTGCGATGCCAATTCGGAGTCGAGGACTGCTGGGCCAACCGCGTCCAGCGTTGCGTTCTCGACGCTCTACCGGACCGACGATCGGCCGTCGAGTACATGCTCTGCGAGTTCACGCGGCCTCTGCCCGCCTACTCGGGATCGTACTCTTGCGCCCGGGCGATGGGTCTGCGCCTCGTCGACGTGGACTACTGCGTCTCGACCACCGGAGAGGACCTAGACAGACGGTTCGAGGCTAAAGCGACGGAGCCCATGCGGATCGTCGGCTTCGTGCCCTACATCGTCGTGAACGGCGTGGCGGACTTCGCTCTGTCCGAGTCGGTGCGTCTGGGGGCCGAAGGGGTGATCTGTGCGGCGCTCGGCGACGATCCCTCTACGGGTGTCGATCCGGCGGACTGCCCTAACTGATCACAAAAGGTGTTCATTGTACGAGCCGATGTTCACGACAACTTCTCACCGAAACTGATATTTTGTATAATTAAATCCCGCGACACGTGGCGGCAACGGGGCAATGGCGCCGAAATTACAATGTTCCTTATCGAGCTAATCAAATATTCGACATAGATATTGATAATTATTATAAACCATTATTGTATCGTCATTTAAGTCAGTCACATAATACGTGTGAGAATTATTAACTGACGTCGACGTTTATTTTTCTAGTTATTAAACTTATAAAGAGCGAGTTATATAATTATTTGAATTAAGTAGGTCTCGCAGGTCATCGATAGAATATCTTGATATTCTAAAGCTGCGACAGAGTAAAGACACAGCGTAATGTACTAAGTTTTATTTGACAATTTATATTTTGCACGCGACGACCCCAGTGCTAGGATCGTCGGCGAGTGCGAAACAAATGACGCTCTCCAGGCGCCGCGAGCTTTGCACGGTGACAGCCCTGTCGACGGCACCGTTGATGACCGTGTAGGGAATGGAATTGAAAGTCGCGATCGGCTCGGCCGCGGCGGCTTCCGCGGGTAATTCCAGTGCGTCACCTGAGGAGACATTAAAATTGAACGGTTTAAAAGTATAGGTGTAAGAAAAGTTTCATCACTTAAAGCAAAATATTCGCCATTTAAGGTATTTTTTTTATAAGTGGCACAAATGATAAACACACCAAACAGAAACAGCACCATTTACTCTGGCCGGCAAACATATTACCGTATTACGCGAGGTCTAGGACCGGAGTCGACTTCATTTAGTCGAATTTAACCCTAATAAGACAGGTTTGCGCTGTCCCACTGAAGAGAAGCCTCGGCTCGAAAAGCAATAATCGGGTGTTCAGTTCTGCAGTCATCTAGAAGAGAAATTAGTCTTTATGATGCTCCGAGTGCTCTGCAGAGTGCGGCAGTACTCCGGGCTCAATCCAGCTCCACATGGAGTATTGTTCCAACTTCTAGACAGGGGTTCCCCAATACGCTTTCTTTTCCTCACCCAACGCAGCGCTTTATGGTCCGTTAGATCCTTTGGCGTTGGGTAGCGTCCGTCTACATCTTCCTTCGAATATATCTTGGGCGGTGTTTTAATTGAATTAATTTTATAAATAAAGCCAATTTTACAGATAATATTCTTCGATACCAGACCAAAATTAAGCAAGAATTATACCTTCTGCATTTCTTGATTGAAAGGGTAGATCAACAATAGAAAATTGCTTAATCTATATATATAAAAATGAAACCCGTTTTCCGTTGTCACGACATAACATGAAAACGGCTTGACCGATTTGTCTGATTATTTTTTTATAATATTACTTGAAGTACGAGGATGGTTCTTACGGAGAGAAAAATTTAAAAAAATTGAGTGAAAAAGTCTAAAAACAACACTTATCTATATTCCCATACAAAATATTCGTAATAATATTTAAAGGCATTTTGAACTTTAATACCATATCATAAAGTTCAAGTGTTAGTGGAGGGGTTCCGGGAAGGTACATTTTTATTTTTTGACATAATGTATTTGTTGTATTATCAACTTTCTTTTTTTTATCTTACTAGCTAGACCGGTGTCCCAAATAGTAGAATAAGTATTTAAAAAAAAATAAAGAATCGACTGTTATTCGACGGTACGATGTTCGCCAGGCCAGCTAGTATATAATATAATATATATAATATTTTGAAACATTCGTTAGCGTCACAACCCATGCGACACTAATTGTTTGTTGGCGATACTATTGAGCCTCCGGATTCCAGGAGACCATATGCGTTTACCTTTTGTGCCTTTAAACCTTCGTCTTTTCTTCTTTGCTAGAGTAGAATGAACGTGCGTAAAATTAGATGTCAAGAGTCACGAATATCAGTAATAAAGAGCACGAAGAAACCGTGTAACTGTTACCTTTCGAAGTAGCCATACAATTGTCGACATCTACCAGCCTCAATCCTGCTTGCAGCGCGCAGTGGTAACTGCCGGTATACCCTGGCCGGGGTTCAGTGAATTCGCAATTCAAGTACGACACCGTCGCCGTCTGATTGGATTTTAAGAAATCGAGAGCACATCGGTGCAGGCGATTGGCCCAGCAGTCTCTCGCTCCGAATTGGCATTCTAGTCTACCCTCGACCCTTTACCGAGAATTAAATGAAAACAATAAAAAGAATGAATTAAAAAAAAGCATTCGTATTGACTCCATTCTCATCTTAACGTAGCTAAGTACCTGCGAGTCTTGCCCCAAGAGACGAATTCGATATCCAAGAACCTTCCATACTTGCCATACACGGGGGCGACACTCTCCCTGATATATCTCGCGACGTGGGGACAGCCCGCGGTCCCGCCTATTTGCACCTTCAACCGCCCGTCTACCGTCTGGACTCGACTAGCGGCCGCGGCTAGCAAAGAAAAGAAAATTACACAATATGTCGTGCGCATGGCTGCCGGGGAACTGCCTTATCGAATCGTGTTACGATTAGATTACTTGCGATATATTAATCGTTTCGTTGTTCTAATTACGATACCGAAGAATTAAAATCAACATTTTTACCAACGAGATTAAGTGTCGAACTATTCGCATGTGTAGCGATCGACGGGCAGCGGCTCTCGTATTCCGGTGGCCGCCGGCGCTCACCGGTTGGCCAAGTGCGCTTCTTGGAGCGGAGATCGAGATCCGCCTCCGCCCACCGTCGACGACCTCACGCCCGGTAAGGAGATCTCATTGTATTTATGCTTATTCATATCGAAAGAGTTATTTTCTCTAAATGTATTTCTCTCACGTGCTATAGAGAGTAGACGAGAGAGAGAGAGAGGCAGGCTTCCTTACAAATGTGCTATTTATTGAATAAAACTATAATTAAACAATTAAAGTCTTATAACATTTTGAAATGCCTTTAAGTAGTAAATGTATGTATTTATATATATTTATATACTCTTTGTTTAGGGTAAATGTTTGATTAAATTCTATTTCCTTTATGTTTTTTGTGTGAATGTCTATTGTGTTAAATTTTTTAGTAACTCGGGACCTACCAATGTTTGATGCGCAAATAAGTGTGTATAAGAGAGTCGGTGAATTTAAACCAATTCTACTTTAGCGTTGCGCCGGCGCAGACAGAACTCCGATAAGTATGCGATGGATCCCGCCCGGGAATTGAACCTGCGATTCGCGAGACCGAGACATCGACCCTTCGCGCAGCCGCCCGCCAAGTGAGTAGATGGCGCGCCACAAGCACGCAGACTCCGAGGCAAACGATTAACGAGCCATGTCCGACAGGGCGGAGTCCAGCCGGTCGGGCTCGTCATCGTCGGGCTCCCCACCTCCCGCGGGGAGCTCGCCGGCGCCCCCGCCCCCCGCGCCTCCCCCCACCGCACCGACCCACAACGCCGCCAGGGCCAGGCGATTCCGGCCGCTCTCCATCGCGCCCTAGCTCAGTTGGTACACTCGCTATTATTTCGCACTGCATCGATATCCGACTATTATTATCTATAAACAATATTTCATTATTATAATGGAAGTTGCACACGCTATTTCGTCAATAGATATTAATTATAATTTTCTCTAAGTGTATTCACACTCACACACGACTCTAAGTTGTTACAATTGATTGTCAGAAGTAGAAGAATTGAAACGTTAAATTGCAGGAGCAGAAGAACAAGTCTGACAGCAGTGAACATGTGTTCGACCTCAAACGAACATACTCTGTACCTAGTAAAATGTGCCGGCGCAGGAGTTGCGGCGTATGGTGTTTTGGGATCGTGAACTGTTTTTAAGCTCTTCCAATGCTGAAACTGAGCGACCCGGGACACGATATGCCGTGAAATAAATGCACACATATATTTATCATTTACAGAAGGAAATTTGTTAATTTGAACCTTTCATCGACTCGAGTTTCCTTTACACAATCGATACTACGGTTCGATCTTTGATATTAAAAGGTTCCTCTGTCCTGATGTCATACTATAAATAATATTTTTAATAAAATGGATCGTTTTATATAAATACAGTGTAAACTCTAATTGGCGATGCTGACGAGTGCGTCTCCGGGCTTTTAGAGAGTATTATTTACACATCGTGGTCACAACGAACAACAGAACGTACACCTAATGAGTTTACACTGTTTATTGATCTCCGTCTCTCTTAATGTCACTTACTCTCTGGAATTCCTGTTTCTTGTCATAGTCGTACATTGAATGAACCGTGCAATGTGTGCGTGAACTCACTTTCCCTCATTTGAACTTGTTTTCTCTTGGACTACCATTTGAGAGCATTAACTGGATTGCTTAGTCCATTCTTTTGTATTTAGCTTTCACGATAAGGTAATTTGCGACGCATTGTGCGGTTGAAATCCCTGATCGAGATCCTGTGAGTGGATTCGTTCGGTTCCCTGAGCTTCGTTTAGTATGAAATAATTAAATGTTAAAAAAAATTTAAAACAGTGCATGCACTACCTTTAAAAGTAAAAAAATTGTCATTTCACTAATAATTAAAAGTTTAATAATTGTAAATGATTCGTCGTATGTATTTATAGTTTAAGCTTTACTTCGCCGTTCGCCCGACAATATGTTCTCGTTCACCGTGTGTAGATCCTTAAATCTTAAGTTAATTGAACGTTTTGAACTGATTATTTTATGGTTAGTAATTTATTAGATTTCTACTTTAAGCCCCAAAGCTCATTTATTTTATTTATTAATTTTATGTAAGGCTGGCCGTCCTCGAAGCCGAGAAAACTCATCGACATCGATTTCTCATTTGTCGATCGGTTCGGTCGGCCAGTCGTGTCACTTGCATAGGATATGATGGAAGGACGCCTCGGTGTTATTTTCGGAGACATTTTTAATCTATAATAAGAGTGTTTCGCCATATCGACATAGTAGTTTCAGTGAAAATATAATAAAGTCAACTTGGTATATAATACGATTAGAAGCTAATGTAAATATGGTCCGTGATAATTGAATGTTTAAATTTCAGATGAAAAAACAAAGGCAGGCATTCTGATCACTCGCAATGATGCCTCGTAGTTTAAAATTAAATGACTTCAAATGCGCTTGACTCTGAACATAAAAAACTCGGGTGTGTTGCCAATTTTAACAATTCTAAATGAATGACTGAGATAAAACTTCTATTAATGTTATAAAATGTCTGAATAAATCATGAATTTCTTATTTTAATAATAATGGTGAACGAACTGAGCTTCTAAAAACTGCTTCGCGTTTGCCTTTGTTTTTTAATTAGAGATTTAAATAGTTATTTATCTTGCTGCTCTAGTAATACCTTACACTGACGTTTTGCTCGCGAGAACTAATAATACAGTAACTGATATAGAGCCACTCGCTTATTTGGCCCGGTGAGGGTGAAAGACGTTCGAAGCTAAAGAATCGGATAAGTTTGAGGTATTTTATTGGTATTACATGAATTTTGAATGTCAACTCTTCGAGTGATCAATCGTATGAAGAGTGCATTAAATATGACGGTTGTGTTCATAGACTTCGCACGGATCTGTCGTGACTGATACTCTTGTGTGAGATATCCCACTTGAGATAGTTTAAATACCCTGGTGTTGTAAGAAAGTGGGAACAATACAATTGTAAGAAATGGATGTGGATCGGAAATCTAATTAAAGCATCCAGGTTGTTTATTACCACAATATTGAAACTGCGCTTTTCTGAATATGGATAACATTTAGTTATGTATGTGTTCAATGAATTTATCAAAAGGCTCTCTGAAATCAAAATGAATAGATAGTGAGAGTAGAATTGCTTATTATTGTAAATCTTATGAAGGGTTATGATCCGTTTATTTTTTAGAGACCTATGGTCTTAAATCTCGATGTGAGTCATGTTGTACATTTTTTAATATTCGATTATTCTGTTTTATATGTTAGTGTTGCACGCGAATCTCGTCGATATTCGTTTCATGTCTTCAGGGGACATTAAAAAACGAGGCTTTGTAAGTCTAATATCTTCGAACTATATACATATGTATAAATATATTACTATGTTGTTATGTAGACGCCATTCGACTCTAGTCTCTGCTGCTTAGTTTAGAATAATGTAACAAAACTATAGAATTAAGATTTATTGGTAATTTCGAGCGGTGTGCAACTTGACTGCGACATTGCAGGCTGCAGCTATCAGTGGTAATTGACAGTTGTCAGCTGCGACAGTAGTCAAAATTGTGTTTGGCGGGAAATAAGCTGAAGTTTACTGTCGCTTGGGGTCGGCCGCGGGCCCCACAACACATTCTAGTCTACGAACAGCTTCCGTCTCATAGTTATATTGATGACAGATAAATAAAATTGGAGACAATTATTTTTGACATAAAAATTATGTATAAAGTTGTTGTTATATACTTAAGCCCTTTTAATGGATAAAATTGCGGCGCGCTGACGCGATCCGATGTCGGAGGTGCACGCTCAGTTACGTTTTGTTTTGCGATTTTTTTATATTTATCAAAATATGCACAATGAAATTTAAATTAAAGGTATTTGCCCTTTAGGTCTTGTTTTTATTGTCTTCTCCAGTCCCATTAAGTTTATAATTCAAATAAAACATAAAAACCATTATCAATTTACCAACTATAATTCACAAGTGAACAGGCAAACATTTATCACAAAAATACATTAACTAATATATTAAACAATTTAACTAATCGTCATCTCAATGTTAATTTTCACTACAAACACAATTATGTATACATTTTACCATTGTAAATTAACCCTTGATCAGCATAGCTCTCACATATTTTCGACAGTAAGTTAAGTCCACAGACCGAGGCGCTCAACAGCACTGTCATCCGCGGAGTCACTACAATGTTTTTCATCATGTTATTCGGTAGGTGCACAGACTGTACAGCATGGACAAAACTATAAATATGTGAGGCCCAGCATGCATGTACATGCTCGATACTTAAATCTTAATCAATCGTGACCAGGGGAATTGCACTTGGAAATTCATTTGATAGTCTGTAATACCTCTCATGCTTTTATATACACCTTCAGGGCCATACCTCACCGAGATGCCATCGCGACGTAGCCAACTAGTTCTTGAGATGTATGCCGGCTAACTCACTTGGCGACGTAGCCAGAGTCAACCGCTCCACATGCGGCGACTGTTGTTTGCACGTTTTTGTATGCTCCGTCACTCACTCAGTCGCCAACCAGTTGCCGAATTAGTACACCTTAGCACTTTTTTACTTAGTTATCCTGAAAGTAATTGTTAGTAAGGATCCTGCTCTCCTAATTATTAATATTTTACGTAAAAAATTATTTAAAATGATTAAATGAAGTAATAATAATTATTTTATTGATAATTTTGGTATAATTTATTTTTGATTTTGGGTCGAGACAGAATTGAATGCATTGGCGATGCGATTTGGCGACTCAGTCAGTGGCGACGTAGCCATGGTAACGTCGCTGGCCACCGTCGCCATGGCATGTCGGTGAGGTATGGCCCTCACACTTTCCTCACAGTCGTTCACATTCCATACCTTTGACGGCCCTAAGACTACTTTACAACGAACCTACTTTTGAGACGGTTGGTGTTCTTCCAAAAGCTCTTAAAGTATTTTTGACTTATCCATTTTTATTTTGTCTTGGTGAATTTGACACCATTTTAGGCGAGTTTTGGATATTTTTCTACTCTCATACATGCTATAATAAATATCAGGTATAGACAGAATAGTCAGAGGTTAAGCCCAACATTTTAATATCACCGGGGTCCTTTTAAAGTACCTACATATACCTACTGGTCAATTAATTAAAGTTGTTCATTTGGATGAGCATTATAACCCCCCTAATATATAAATAGGTTCGTTGTTATATAATAATATACAAATCCAATCACGCTCCTCCATATCAGCACTAGCTCCTTCCTCTAGCTGGCATCATATAATCAAAAATCTTAGATAGCGTACCGGAGTGGGATAATATTCTCGCTCGAGATCTTATTAAAAGATAAAACGTATAAAGTATTAACTTTGTCTATATCACCTACCAATCAATTTTCCAAAGGGCGATAAAACCGGATTTAGTACTGGTACAAAACAAGTACAAAGCAAGCTATTATTGTAGTTCATAAATCAGGCGATAAATACAATGTCAAATGTCAATAACAATATAGGTCAATTTCAATTCTACCAGCCTTCGACACTATCTGTATCTCTACATAAAATGGAGCAAATAGGTATTAGAGATATTCCCCTAAAGTTATTTTGTGATTACCTTGCAAGACAAACACAGAGAGTAAATATAGGAGAATATATAAGTGATGAACAGGAAATTACAAAGCATATTAGGTGCAACATTATTTTTAATGTAGGTACATTAATGCATTAAGCAATCTAAAAATTGATCACGGGCAAATATTTTCCGATGCAGCTTACCCGGCCTGAAGTGAACGGAAGTAAGAATGTCAACTATTGCTAATTAATAAAAAATAACTTGCTTGTAATCTACCTTCTGTCTTTTTATTAGAAAACCATTTCTAATCGAACTCAACCACCGTAAGATTTTAAAATTAAAATACATAATTTCGATTTGCAGAGAGTCAGTAGGTCATGTCCGTCAATTACAAAAGTTAGCTCCAACATTTGGGCATCCAGATAGACGAGCGTCTCTCGTAGTAACCCCATTTGACTATGAGTCAATGACTGGTAGAAAATTACCCACCTTTCAAAAATTTTGCGCCGGTCTTTTTGTGACCGCTTGAAGTTTATGGTCACGCGATCTTTAAACATATGGGGAGCGGCGATAAATTTTTTTTTTAGAATTTGAACGAGGACATAGGGCTCTTAAAGGTTAAGCTATTTCGAAGAAAGCTGTATGTCGTAAATATACATGTACAATAAATTAAATAGACTGCTTAACATCTACTCGCTCGTCGCAAAGTTGGAGATGCTACTTATAACTGTAACATGTAGTTACACAACACGATGTTAATTAAGAAATTATTAAACAGTTTAAAAAAAAATTAATTTAAACAAAACGATTATTTTTTATATTAACTTTTTTATGGAATTACATTTGTTACGGAAGAGCTGGGGAAGAAGAAGAGGGAAGCCAGTGTCATGTTTTTTTACTTAAAATGCATACTTATAACTATTATACGTAGTCGGTCCCAAAGTTCTGTCATAAATGGAAATAATGATAAAAACAAAAGTACTGATCAGTTTGTAATGAGTGATATATAAATTCTTAGTACATTAATTAAGGAATAAAAAAAGCATAAAAATATTCGAAATAACCTCCCTCATTTTTAATACAGGCCCTTAAGCGTCGCGGCCAGTCGTCTATCGCAGCACGCACCATATTCGTGTCGATTTCAGTCACTGGTTTTTTTAAAGATGACTTCAGATTCTCCAAATTTTCATGAGGTTTATCACAGACCTTCCTCTCTAAGCCCTGTCATAATTTCTGGTCCAAAGGATTAAGGTCCGGACTGGAGGAAGGCCAATCCTCATGTCTAATTAAGACGATGTTTTGACGCTCAAACCAGGCTTTAGTGGTCTTGGCTTTGTATGCAGACGCAGAGTCCTGCTGGAACACGAAGTGATGTCCCGCAAATAGGGTGCTGGACAGGTCTTTGACAAGGCGATACAAAACCGTCTCTTGGTACACTGTAGCACTGGTTTTGACCCCCTTTTCGAAAAAATTAACCTCAGTTAGCCCGTAATAGGACACTCCCAACCAAACCATTACTGATGATGGATGATGTCCATGTTGCACCCTTGGAACTTTATTTTCAGCTTCTTCAGAACTCCTAGCGTACACTGTATCATTCTGTTTATTGTACTTCTCTTCAATATCGAAAAATTTTTCGTCCGTAAAGAGGATATCACGGTGTCGGTTTTTCGCGTACCGCTTAAACAACACCCGCGATCTCTTAAGCCTTATTGCTTTTAGACGAGCATTAAGTAAGTGCCCACTCTTTTTTTGTATGCTCGTAGACCAAGATCTTCATTTAAAACCTTTTTTACTGTTTTCCTACTGACACCCATCTGCAAATCCATCAACTTCTGTTTTCGGACAGGATTTCTTACTTTCCGCGCCTTGATAGCTTTGATTACTGCTGGTGTTCTTGCGGAGCGTGGCCAGCCAGTTCTTTTCTTGTCCTCAACACTGGAGACTTCAAGGTACCTATCAATAGTACCGTACACAAACCTAAGCGTTATATTCAAATTTTTGAGCAACTTGAAAATGGTACTCGGCGAGTGTCCACAGCGGTGCAACGCAATAACAACTATTCGGTTTACTTTCAATGTCCACTCCATCGTGAAAAATTACGGAAAGTTATTGTTTTTTGTTTTAAAACAATAATCAAACATTCCAAAATAGAATGCAATAATTTTTTTATAAAATCCTGCTCGAAATGTAGAAATAATGTGCTAGTGACAGAACTTTGGGACCAACTACGTATATTTCTTTACTGACATGTTATAAGTGTATATTATGTTCCCTATGTGATTAAATTATTTTTCTACTTTTTTACTTTACTTTTAACAAATGAACCCATTATTATTATTATTTTTTCAAATTAGTGTCATCCAATAAACAAAATATATGTAAAAACCTGATAACCTCCCTAAAACAAAGTCGGTCGCAGTGGTACAGTTTTTCTACATAGGTACATATTGCTACTGAGGTAATGTAAAGAGCATTTCTTTAATAATTTCTTTATTTAACCAAACAATCACAAGTCCATTCGGAAAATTCATTTTAATTCACAAAAGACAATTCCATGGTCTCAATGTGCTCTTTAATGGAAATATATAATCGAATTCCGCGATGCGAACCTGCGCCGCTACGAGTAGTACATAGTGAGCAGACATTGACTGATGACGCGCATGTATCGCTCCCACACGGACTTCAGATCCGCCTCCCTGAGACAACGGGCGTTCGGTGAGTTCTAAGAGGTTCTTTTCCTCAACGTTTAACTGCACAAAACGTAGACAAGTTACCGTAATACGTCCATCTGAAGCGCGCACTGCTCGTAGGCGGCGAGGAACTGAGACAGGTCGGACTTCGGCCATCCGCCCGCGCGCAGAGGCTCGATGCATCTGCCGGAGGACCCTCGTCACTACTGCGCTCAGAGACTACTTCTATGCAATCTGACACACTCGCGTTTACCTCTCCAACAGGTCGATGAACAGAGAGCGCAGTTCTCGCGCGCGATGCAGGTTACAGGCCACTCCCACCAAGGCGCGCGTGTACACCCTGCGACGGTTCAATTTACGTTCGAATTCAAACATATAGTTTAGTAAAATAAAAAATGGTTCAATGTCTGAAGATACGATTGAATAATGATACCTGAAATTGAGCTCCAACTCTTGATAAGACTTCTCCAGGAGCTTGGGCTTCAGCCGCATGCACACCAGACTGAAACCAAAACAGATTATCGCATAGCATAGAGCATAGAGCGACGTGAAGTGGACGCTACGAAGACGCACTGCTTATGCTCCTTCTCCTTGTCGAGCAGCACTCGCAGCTCCCTCAGCTCGAGCAAGAACTCGCGGTCCATCTCGGTGTCGTAGTACTCCGGACCCGAGCAGCCGTAGGTCCAGCCCGCCTGGACAGCTCGCGCACACCCGGCCAGCTCTGCGAACGACAGGTACTGCAGCTTGCGCTTGGCCGTATCGAAGCGCATGCAGGCCAGGAAGACCACGGCGCCGTACTTGGCCGCGAGGCGCTCGGACAGCAGGAAGGTGGCCCGCACGTTAGCCACCACGGAGCCCGGCATCTCCTCCACGGCCTTGAACACACGCCTAACGTTGTCGAACTGGCGCCGGCAACAGCGCAGGGGCGCCCCCGAGCGCTCCGACACCTCGTCCAGGTCCTTGCGGTGACGAGACGACAGCTTGCGCCCGACCAGCTCTCGGATCACTGCGTCGTCCAGCTCGTAGTATCTGCGGATGTCAAATCGAGAAATGTGTTCCTCCTACTGCACAACCAATAGAGAAATCGTAACGTACTTCTCTATAAGCATCTGTTTGGTGGGCTCATCGAGCTGGAAGATCATCTGCTCCGATAGCTTTGCTGGAACGGTCAGCAGACGCTCCAACAGGGCAAATGTCCTGCAATCAATGATTTTATGCTGACTACGAAAATCACTGTGAGGAACCCAGCATAACTTAGACCCAAAAAACCAAGGGCATATCTCAAGCACAGCGGGCTGATCACCTACTTGCCTATAAAGAAAAAAATTATCACAAAACATACTATATCTGAGCCAAGACCAAGGGATGTAGTGTGGTATAGATTGTTTTTATCTATTGACATGAGATATTAGGACCTACAAATTTTCAATTTTGAAATTCTGAGATTTTAAATTTTTAACTTTTATTTAGAAACTGTTACTTTTTTTTTTCAGATTAGTTAAAAGATTTAGCATAGTTGGTTACTGACAATAATTCAGAATAGCATGAAGGAAATTTGGTCAAGCTTACCTAATCCCTGTCTTTAACTGTTTTAGAATAGTCCCTCTGAATTTTCACCCCAGAGAATCATATATGTAGTAGTGCCTTATATAGCCAAATATTCTTACCGATAATGATCAAGGACATCGCTTGCTATCAACTCTACCGTGGCCCCAGTTTGCTTGGTTACTGCTCTTTGGTGTAAAGTTGACACTGCTTCGCTTGCTGTTAACTCATTCAGTTTAGGTTACAAAGTTATTTTTTATTATAACATTGAAAGGAAAGCCAAATGTGAAAAGGGAATATTACAGCCATACATTTAGATTGGTGTCTTTAATCTCCAATAAGATAAAATATTTAAATAATAAATATTTCTACTTACAGGAACATCCTTCAATCCATAATTGATAAATCTCTGGGTCTATGAGTGTATAATTAGAAACAAAAACATCTACTTCTGTATACATTGCAATATTTAACTTAGTAATAATATAGTTTATTTACAAATTGCATTCAATATGGTACGGTTTTGAAATATTATAAAAACTTGGATATTATTTACACTACACTTTGATCTTAGCCAAAAGGCCGAGAAGCGATGGATATTATTTATTAAAAGCTTATAAACATGATGATGAAATGTCAAAGTCAAAATCATTTATTCATATAGTGGTAGGGGAGCCCACGATGCTAAATGGGGATTTACTCGAGCGTCGTAGAGACCTATTGGGATGCAAAGCTTAGATAATAAGAAGAAAAAAATGTTATATGATAAATTCCTTTTCATCGGTGGGGGAAGCGGCTATAGATAGTTAAATATGTAAAAAAAAACTGTTGCATGGACATCCTCGAGCGCGTCAGATATTGATAGCATCTATGCCCTACGTATTTTTAATAATGTACGTATGTTAATCTGATCGTTTGCATGATGCGGGTGGTTGTATTTAAGGGTTGAAAATGAAAAAAAAAAAAAATATCGAGCGCGTCAGATTTTCTAAGGGAGTGTTAAGTGCACCAAAAAAAGCTCTCATTCACTAATCTGACGATTTCGATGGGACGCAAACCCACAGCCATTTTCATAATTTGCAAAAAAAATCACAATTTTGAAATACTCAAGCGCGTCAGATTAAGATATATGTGGTTCATCTTTATGTTCTAAACGTACTGTCTCATAATCTGACGATTATCTAGAGGGATTCGCCTGATCTGACAAAAAAAATTTAGAAAAACGGTTCACCTAAAGGGCCATCCCTGCAACTTCCCGCTAATTCCATTCCTGGGCGCTTAAAATTGATATTTTGAGCTCGCTGAGTTCAAAGAAATAACATTTCTATGCATTTGAGCTCTCCCAGGTCGAAAGTCTGATAGAAGTTTCATAGAACACTATTTTTGGAATTTTCAAACCGCAATAACTTTTGAATGGATCAAGCAATTTTCACGCGGTTGGCGGCATTCGACGCAGTTTTATCATCCTCATAAGTAATTTTGCAATTTTAATTGATCGAACCACAAATTTCGGAGTAATCCCGAATAAACACTTTTTCGGGTTTCTTTCGTTCACGATATCTCTCGAACGAATCAACCGCTTTTGACCAGCTTAGTGGCGATCAACGTGGTTTTTCAAGCTCAAAGGTGGATTAGTTTTTGAAGTTGATCGATAAAGAAACCACTTTAAAAAAAAATATTTCTTATTTTTTTAAGATTTTTCAAAATTTCTCAAAATCTATCGGTCCGAATCGGTTCAAATTCACAGGAAATGTAATTTTGAGGGAAATATTTAGAACGCCGTTTAGTAGATTCCGATCGGTTTAAGGAAATGTAGGCATCACGCAGCTGCACGCATTTAACTTTATCGACGAATTTTTGTTATTTCGGCTTGCGGAAATCGTCAGATTATATATTTTTCATTATTCTTGAATTATTTCCTTCAAAATAAAAAAAAATTAGCTACGCTCGAGAATGTCGAGATGACGTTTTTTTTTACAACTTTGTTGCCCTCCCCTTTTTTCCGTCACTCTCAAATTGTCAGATTAGTGGAATATACACTTTTTAGGATGTAATTAACTCACCCTACCTTAATCTGATGCGCTCGGGAATTTCTGATGGTCAATTTTTTTTTACTAATCTGATCCTGTCTCCTTCACAGGCGGCTTTATATATGGACCTCATGTTTTGTGGAGGTACTTAACCGAGTACAAGCTATCCCCCTGTATATTAATCTGCCGCGCTTTAGTAAATCCCGAAATCCCCTCTTGGGCTCCCCTACCATAGGTATAGGTCTACCAGGATCTGATGGCAAAAAGGCAAAAAAGAAATTGACGCTAGCAATACTGGGGAAAATGGAGTAAAACGTTTTGATATTTTTTTTTATAGCGGCTGATTCTGTGTGATAATTTTTGAAAATGTGGCGAATGTGGGGTTTGAAATTTAGATGAAATCTCCAATTACTCTGTTCATGAGTTTATTAGTTAGGTAATTAAGAACTTGAAAATGGTTCCAAATACTGCACATCCATAAAAAAGTCTTCAACGCAGTATTTATGATAAACCTTTCCTCCTGCATCTAAATTAACCGATCTTTTAATAAAACACTATTTTGACCGGATTGAAGTTATGTATTATTATAAATTTACAACTATTTAACATAATTTTAAATTTATCCGACGTTTCGCGTGCTTTACAGCGTGCGTGGTCACGGTGGTCAAAATAGTGTTTTATTAAATGAATAAAAGTTATGTTAATCAAAGACAATACTATGTGTTAACCGATCTTGTTCTATGAACTGATTTTCAATTTTTATTACATGTTCACAAGATTTTCGCCATTCATCGATCCCTATTTGAGAGAAAGAAACAGTGTAAAACTCATTTATCTTGTTTCTGATCAATTCTAAATCAAAACTATCCAAGTTTATTTGTAGTATAAGAAACCCCTGAAATAAACCAAAGTTTAGTATAAGTACATAATATAATACACACGAAAAATCTCATAAACCAAAGTATCAAGACGTGTCATTCCTACTAACCAGTCAACGCTTGCACATGGCTCAATATCGATGATTGTGTATGTTCTGCATCTTGTTGATCAAGTTTTCTTTGATAAACATTGAAAACAGTATGTCTTGCTTGCGATCGAAGAGGTTTCTTCGACATTTTCATCACTTTTTCAAGGAAATTTGAAGCCAAACCAAAAACAATTCCTCGAAATTTCAGTTGACATATGAAATTTTTCTTTTATTGCCATATGAAAATCGCTAATTTTTAAACTTTTTGTTTGCCATCAGATTCTGGTAGACCTATAACACAATGTACACTTATGAACGTCAAAAAAGAAATGTACATTAAATTTTTATTAAAAAAATAAAAAGCTTTTAATAAAAAGTTATTTTCTTATTACTATTGACTAGTAATATTTTATTAAACAATGATTATTTCAATTTTTAAGGATGTGCTAGCCTCGCTAGCTAGGCCTCATAGCCTAGCGGTCTTATTAAGTGGCAGCTAGGTGAGGGGTACCGACTACCGGGTTCGATTCCCGGTTCAAAGGCAAGTTTTAATTTAATTTAAATTTGTTCTCGGCCTTTGGGTAGGGTTGTGCGATACCGGGCGAGTGCTTAAACCGTACATGGAGGACACGGTCGAATTTCTAAAGACAAGCACGAATTATAAAAAAAGGGTGCGTGTACTTATGTACGCGCGTAAGAAGTTATACTTCTTTGGCATTATTAAAAATAGTTTTTGATTGTATGCAAACAGTTAATTACAATTAAATAATCAAAGACTGGAAAAGGAGTCATTATAGTCAATAAAGTTCAGTTTACATTTGAAAAATTAAATAAATAATTATTTATTATTATTCTCTTAAGTACATTAAGTGTAACATAAATTCTATTATTATTCGAATGCTGTTTTTAAAATATGTCCAACGCCGTAGCATCTTCCGTGGGCAACTTCATTCTGATAATGTTGTGTCACGGTGCGCGCGCATCGTAAAATTTCACTCTCATAATTTTTTCATAACGTGCCTTAAGAAGTATTACTTCAAAAAAATGGTGCGTGTACTTATGTACGCGCGTAAGAAGTTATACTTCTTTGGCTTTCTTTATTTTTTTAAAATATTAAATAATTAATAATAAATATTTAAATTTAATAATATTTAATATTTAGTATAAATAATAATAATAATTATTATTATTTATTATTTTATTATAATATTAATTCAATTTAATAACTAGGTATGTTTCATAACCTTTTAACTAAGTAACAATAGGTCTTTGTGAAAAAGCATTGCTAAATTTCTTTGAAAAAATAATTAAAACTCCTTTATTTGTTTAAAAGGTACTACAAATGTCATTATGGTCATTCAAAATTCTTGGCATAGCTGCTAACGTCACGCATATTCTATTTCTTTTTACTTGTAGATTGTCTTATTCCCATCTCGCTCGCGCACGCTCGGCGCCCATACTGATAATTTTGTGTCACGGTGCACGCGCATCGTAAAATTTCACTCTCATCAATTTTTCATAACGCGCCTAAAGAAGTATAACTTCAAAAACCCTATACTTGACGCTGACTAATGCACAAATCGTGCCAGAGCCATAAAAAAAAATAAAAAAAAAGTATGTGCTACTGAGCAGTGATGCCAACTCCTATAAAATATTCACCCCAGGATCAACTTCAAATACCCCTAAATGTCGATCAAAAACCCCTAAAGTTTTTATTGTACACTTGGTTTGAGAGGTAATTTCGAATATGAATTAAAAATACGTTGAAGCAGTAAAAAATAGCTGTTGTATTTATGAGAGTTTATTTTACATATTTATACCTATATGTTACTCAATGACCGAATAATATTAATGATACTAACAATGAGATGAAACGATTCTCATTTTTTGTTTCTTAACTTTTCTTTCTTCGAATTCAGTTTTTCTTAACGTTTCTTGGCAGATTTTTTTTTTGCGTTTTCGTCATTTTCTTTTCATACATTGTTTTTAAAGCTTTTAGTACGTATCTTTTTTATCTGTTCTGTTACAGTTAAACGAGACAGAATTAAAATAAATAAAAAGGGTGCGTGTACTTACGTAAGCGCGTAAGAAGTTATACTTCTTAGTTCTTTGGCTTTCTTTATTTTTTAAAAATATAAAATAATTAATAATAAATATTTAAATTTAATAATATTTAATATTTAGTATATTATTCAATTATTAATTAATATTATTATTAATAATTATTATTATTTATTATTTTATTATATTATTCATTCAATTTGATAACTAGGTATGTTTCATAACCTTTTAACTAAGTAACAATAGGTCTTTGTGAAAAAGCATTGCTAAATTTCTTTGAAAAAATAATTAAAACTCCTTTATTTGTTGAGGTACTACAAATGTCATTATGGTCATTCAACATTCTTGGCATAGCTGCTAACTTCACGCATATTCTATTTCTTTTTACTTGTAGATTGTCTTATTCCCATCTCGCTCGCGCACGCTCGGCGCCCGGCTGGTTTAAAAAGAATTCGTTAGTGGGGAACTTCATTCTGTTAATTTTGTGTCACGGTGCGCGCGCATCGTAAAATTTCACTCTTATCAATTTTAAAAAAACGAATTGCTTCAATGTCTCCTTTTTTTCCTTCTAACACAATATTATTAAATGTCTTAATTAAAAACTATTTACTATTTTTTACTTCTAGCGTCGAAGAACAACAACTTCATAGTAAAAAAATACGCTCCAGTTAATGCCATCGGTGCTATCGTATGGCGCGAGAATTTAAAATGGTATAGAATTTTATGGAATTTAGGAGTGTACATGTATTATTTCATTTACCAAAAAAAAAATTGAAACTTTCTTCGATTGTATAATTAATGAATTAATAATTTAATTATAAATTAATTTTTTTTTTAATTTTCTGAATTTGTCGAAGGTAAAAAGCACAAGTATTTGATATATTATGTAACATGAAAAAACTAAACTGAAAGTCAGATAATAATATTATTTTTGTTTTATACATAAATCATTTAGTAGTTTACCAGAATCTGATGGCAAAAAAAAAGTTTAAAAATTAGCGATTTTCATATGGCAATAAAAGAAAAATTTCATATGTCAACTGAAATTTCGAGGAATTGTTTTTGGTTTGGCTTCAAATTTCCTTTAAAAAGTGATGAAAATGTCGAAGAAACCTCTTCGATCGCAAGCAAGACATATTGTTTTCAATGTTTATCAAAGAAAACTTGATCAACAAGATGCAGAACATACACAATCATCGATATTGAGCCATGTGCAAGCGTTGACTGGTTAGTAGGAATGACACGTCTTGATACTTTGGTTTATGAGATTTTTCGTGTGTATTATATTATGTACTTATACTAAACTTTGGTTTATTTCAGGGGTTTCTTATACTACAAATAAACTTGGATAGTTTTGATTTAGAATTGATCAGAAACAAGATAAATGAGTTTTACACTGTTTCTTTCTCTCAAATAGGGATCGATGAATGGCGAAAATCTTGTGAACATGTAATAAAAATTGAAAATCAGTTCATAGAACAAGATCGGTTAATTTAGATGCAGGAGGAAAGGTTTATCATAAATACTGCGTTGAAGACTTTTTTATGGATGTGCAGTATTTGGAACCATTTTCAAGTTCTTAATTAACTAATAAACTCATGAACAGAGTAATTGGAGATTTCATCTAAATTTCAAACCCCACATTCGCCACATTTTCAAAAATTATCCTTGATCATTGGATAAATTTTTATATTTGCATGTATCACACACAGAATCAGCCGATATAAAAAAAAATATCAAAACGTTTTACTCCAATTTCCCCAGTATTGCTAGCGTCAATTTCTTTTTTGCCTTTTTGCCATCAGATCCTGGTAGACCTATAGTAGTTTAGAAGTCAGCTCTATAACCATTTACCACAGATGTTTTCATTTAGATTTTATATACGGACATATACTGTGATGTAATCATGCAATCTGTGAACAAGGTCATAGATAGGTAATTGTAAATTGATTTTTTGGTTCTTACTTACTTCTTAATTCTTACTTCACTACACTTCTAACTTTTACTCCGATTACTGATAAGATTATTTTTACCCCAATAGTAAATATTAGATACTATAAATATCTATATTATGTATAAGTCTTTAATATGTTATTCTTTTCATTTCCATATTTAGGATGATGCACATAAATTTAAATCACTGAGCAGCTAGCAATACTGGGTTTTAATATAAAGTAAGAATGTGATCAAATCATGAAAGGTATTAAAATAATAAAACTTCTGTTTTATTTTATATAATATCGCAGGTTTAGGCTTAAGAGTTGGTTTGAGAAATAGTATAGACAAACTAGTAAATAAAGCTTTTGTATATTGACTATCAAATAAGAGAAATATACACTCATAGAATTAAACTTTTTGTCTATATATATTTAAAGCTGAATGAATTATCTCTATGTGAAACATCTATTTTATTCCAATAAAGATGTCAGACAACGAGATAGAGAGCAGTGTGGTAACATGTGAGCCTGAAGAGGGTGAGCTGACCAATATGTTTGCAAGTGTATGGGTCAAAGTAGAAGTGCAGGCTGACGCTGAGGCTGACGTAGATACCCCTTCTCCGAAACCCAGGTATGGAAATAATATTCTTAAAATATAAAAATATTTTTATTTAGTGAGTGAGAGGAATTAATTCTAAAATTAGCAGTAGAACTTGTATTGTGTTGTGTAAAATATGTACTTATTACTATATTTTTTTATGTTTGTTCTTTTTTTGTCAGGAAAAGTAAAAAGAAGAAGGGTAAAGAAGTACTTGCATGTCAACATTGTGACTACACAACTATACATAAGAACTGTCTCAGATACCACATCCATGGTCATGATAACAAGTTACTTACATGTGAGCATTGCTCTTATACTACTAAATATCCTAACTCCCTCAATCGTCACTGTAAGCTCCAACACAACCTCTCCCCAGAAGAAACCAAAGACAATACCTATAAATGTGAATATGAGAACTGTGAGTATGTAACTTACTATCGTTGGAACTTGAATGTCCATCAGCGAAAACATAAACTAGAAAAGCATCACAAATGTCCAAAATGTGACTATCGTACTGCCTATAGACACAATCTATTGAAACACAGTAAAAGCCATAATGAAGGAGTGTTCTTTAAATGTGATAAATGTCCCTTTGTTACCAAATATGAAGGACATATATCGAGACACCTTGCTAAAATACACAATGAAGTGTCAGAGGGTGCAAATCGGTGTGATATGTGTGATTTCTCCACTAAGATCCGTTGGAGACTAAACACGCACAAACAGCGCAGCCGGCAGAGCAATAACTTGAAGTGTGAGCATTGTGAATTTACAACATTTTATATGTGTGAGCATAAAAAGCACAAAGAGTTACATTTTGGAGCTATTTATGTCAACAAGAATACAGAATCAAGTATGTCTCAACCTCAACCAAGCGTGCCACTAGATGTCCCCAAAGTCGAACCAGAATCACAACGGGACCAATATGTCATAGACCCTAACTGTCTCGATTGGAACAGCATTCAAATATTGGAGTCTGAAGACAAAGAAAGACCATTCATGTGCTTAATGTGCTCTTACACCTCCAAATTTAAAGCAGCTGTTCAAAGACACTTTCAGAGACATCACACTGGCACTAAGAACCGACCATATAAATGTTGCAACTGTGACTTTTCAACAAAAACCAAAGATCAAATTGCTCTGCACAACAAACGTAGCAAATCTGATAAACTATTGCATTGCCCTATTTGCAGTTTTACAACTATCTTCAAGTGCCATCTAGCAATGCATCAGAAAACCCACTACACTTTCAAATGTACTATGTGTTCATATTCCTGTCGGCAGAAATATGATTTGCAGAAGCACTATGCTGTTACACACATGGGAAAGGGGTTGAAATGTCATTTTTGTGATTATGTTGCAGCCAGGAAAGAGAGTCTTCTCTGCCATGAGGCAATACACACAGGAAATAAGCCATTTAAGTGTACCCTTTGCAACTACAGCTCGGTGAGACGATCTCTTTTGGATGTCCACACAAGGAGATTTCATTGTGATCAAAGACCTGATGTCACCATAGTTAGCGATGACAAAATTGAGTCTCTCAAAGTGCCGCTGCCAGAGTTACTAAACCAGTTGAAGGAAATAGAGTCATTTCAATTTCCACAGTGATTAGAGAAGTTTCTTACGACATTTACTTTCACACTGTACATTATGTAGCTTTAGCCGTGTAAATGAAATAGATTTTTATGATAGTGATATACGATTTAAATTCTACATTTCGTTGGAAATTAAATCGACATAAGCGGTGTATTAACTTGTTTGCAGACAACTCTTCAAATATTATCAGTTTCAATAATATAAGATTATTACAGAAGATGTTTATATATTTCACAAAATTATTTTTTTTACAATATATTACGTAATAAAATAACTATATAGGTATAAGATACTAGTACTTGTATAAAATGTAAATAAAGGTCATGCAATAAAATTGGTTTTTAATTTTCTAAAAAGTTCAGTTATACATATATCTAAATTTTGCGTATAATCTTATACCATTCAATTAAAACTCTTAATTTGTCAGGCTTTTTCTAACTTGCAGTACGTTATGTACAGAAAGATAAAATAAAAAAAAATATTTAAAACAATTTATTAAAATCCAGCACTAAATACAAAATGTCCTTTATACATCACAATTGTATTATTATGTCTATATTCTCACTTTGTACCTTCACAATTTATCAAAACATAATATCAGATTAATATAATTAAATACAGTCGAAATCACAGAAAACCTTAAAATGACAAAAAAGCTAATTTTGTTAATACATATATATATATATATATATTGTTTTAATGTTAGCTTTCTGGACTGTGCGTCGTCGTCGTATTATAAACATACAAGACATCGGTAAACGAGGACAAATAAAGTTCTGTTCGGCGAGTGGCCTATTTACTATAGGTACCGAGTGTATATTTCGAAATTTACGATAGAGATAATTTTACATCACCATTGAAACTCGTGATTAAGTACCAATGAATGACGTCGCTAAAAAATAAAGTTTATTTAGAACATCACAATTATCATCCGTATTACACATTTAAATTAATAAATAAAACAATACAAATAATTGTATTATATAAGTACTCAAAATATGATCTAGTTGTAAGTGTGTGCACTTGGGTATGCACTTTGCAGGTCGAGAGGTTTAATATTTTAAAGCGCTAAAGTAAAACATTCAAGATCCGTGGAATATTACAACCTATAATATATTACCTATTCGAATCATCGTCACTTGTTTTATATAAACCAGTAAACGGAGAAAAGGCAAATACGCTTAAGCGGAATATTAGCTTTTATACAGGATAATACTTAATTATAACAGCGTTAAGGACTCAGTATAATTTATTTACAGGAATGTCGGATAAACAATTGATACGACTATAATGATTCAGCTCGACTGTTTCCTAAAATATTGAAAAGGATCAGCCAGACAGAGAACTGACTTCAAACTCGAGAACTACTGTACATAATTAACAAATGCGCCGAAGCCCTATACGCGCCCATCTCACATCGAATAAGTGTAAATAGCCATCAGTGCGTCTCATATTCGAGTTGGCGCTTTGGACCCAAACTGCGCGGACTGAGGTCCGTTCGCACATCAGTCAAATCCCTTTAGCCTCCATCTTCTATGGATATATTTTTATATCGCCAACGTGTCAAAACTTAATTAATTTCAAGCGAAGAATACAATATTTCGTTTAATAATTGTAAGGCTTCATAGTGTAAAATCTCTCTACTAGTGTTCTCCGATTTAAAACGTTTAATAAATAAATCGATTTACCCAATTTCGTATCGGCCGATACCCACCGAGCGAGGGACGAGGCCAGTCGAAAGCCTAAAACATCTCATATTGACGTCACACGTTTAGGAATAATTTATTTACAACTTAACTAAACTTACTTTAGTTTATTTGTTCAACGAACAATTTACATTTATTCAATTGCTTTGTACGTCGTCGAGCAAACGAACCAGAGAAAAGAAAGTAACCGTCTCATTCAGTCTTTTTACAATTGTTTCTTACCGGTTCCCACCGACTGGCTCTTTTCATAGGCACGAACGCAATTGCGGAGAAAGAGACGAACGCTCGCTTTAGTCGAGACAGGGTAATAAGATTGATTCGTCCGTTACGAATAATTTTTAATATAAAATGTACACGACAATACAACATCTACACTATTTACATGTATAGGGGTGAAGGTGAGGTCTCGGTCAATTAATTTTCGGTCATTTTTAAGTATGTCAATTAATTTTTAAATTTTAGGAAAATAAATATTCACGATAAATATATTGAATAGCAAATGTTACGTTCGACAGTTTTATCGAATGTTAGTTTTTAATCCGGAAATAATCTATATATTTATTTGTGCATTTTCTATTCGGGATTGACCTTCGTATGACTAAATAGGAATCTGCCGGCGGAGGGGCGTCTCTCGCTAACTAATAATATGGTTAAAAGAACGTCTCGCTGAGAACCTTCAGGTGGACACGACCGCGTGTCATGTGTGTCCGGCGCCGGCTCATATGTCCACCTCGCAGATTTTCCTCTTGTGAGGGAGACCGCACTTCTCCTTTTTGATCAGCTCCCGCTTCAGCCGCAGGTAGGTCTCCAGACGGGACAGCGCAAACTCCCAGTACCCGAACGGTATCTGGCTTTTGGAGGCGTTGACGACTGACCAGAGACTCCAGAAGAGGTCGCTCACGGGCTGAAAGGCGTCCACCTCGCCCAGCAGCTGGTTGACGTCGTCCACGGACGGCGCCTCCGCCTCCGGGCCCCCGCCGGCCCGCGCCCAGCCGCTGCGGTAGGCCTTCAGGTACTCCTTTATGAAGATCTCCTGCAAAGCCCACCTTTGTATTCGCCCGCGAGCACAAACACTCGACTCTGAGGTCGGGATCGCTTTTCATTTTTCAAATCGTACGGAACCGTATCGATCTATCTTTTATGATCAAACGAAAGTAATGTCCTCACTTCAATATTTAATCTCTATTGAAAAAGTACTTCTCATAATTTACAAATTTGACTTAATTCATTAATTTAATTTAGACAGTACCTATTAGTAACAACAAAGACAATTAAAGTAAATAGACAAATCACTGCTATGAAAAAGCCATAACTCTCGCGACGATGGATATCGCAACCGAAATGAAAAAATCCGTCCTTCGCACTGAATAGCAACGGTTGAACGCAACGTCCTAAATGTTATGGTATGGGATGCGCTTAGGATTCATTCAATTATTTAAAAGCAAGAGAGGCCTAAACAATGACGTAATTTCAAGTGGTACTTACATTATAGTTACTACACGCTGATCGATATAAAGTTTCATTATATGGGAAGTTCAGTATTATAATTATCTTGGGTTTGACATAAAAAATTATACTTTATTGTGTAGTGCATCTTTAAAGTGTATCTTTCATAATCTATGACAATCACATGCAATTTTCAAATGGAATCAGCAAAGTTATATACAAAAATAGTTTTTAGTATATTTTTTCTTCGTGGTTTGTTGTTCTTTTGCTATAAACGTTAGCATACGACTGAATCAAGTGGTTGAGTTCAGTTTTTTGATATCCTACAGCTACATTGCCTCAAGTTACGACTTGGACGTACATGTAATGGCAGAAGATATATTCACATTATTGCATGTTTAGTTTAATACCCATTCAAATTACTAACGAGCTATCGTAGATGATGACTTTATAAACCTCAGTTAATATTTCATCCATCTGTATAATTTTTTATTACGGTTTCTTTAAAATAGTTTATTTACACAAATCACTTCACGTCTCGACTGTTCGGGTAGAGATGGACGCATACGTCACTATGGTTACGCCTGACTGCCTTCACCCTTTCCCTCTAATTTAAGAATTTGTTGGTGAAAATATAAGTATAGCACGTACCATGTGATATTGATTATGGCTAACGTTGACTTGTTTTAATGCGATCTACCGATTAAAGATTTCTTGATTTGGATTGGAGATCATATGAAATTTAGAATAAATTGTTTCTGTGGTAAGGATGTGAAATAAGTTGAATTTTGAATGTCCTTAGATTAAATGCTATCATGGATTTCTGCGTAGCCAGAATTTTTGTTTTTATGTGAACATTTCTGGTCTAATAGTTTAATTGTCTTTGGTAAAAGTCATAGGCTTTGTACTCTCAGAGTGCATAACATTTTAAATATAATTTTTGTATTAGGAAACCTAAAAATAGTTAACCGTTGGATTTATCCAAGATACCCAACTACTTCTTCGCTAGAAATTGTCATAATTCGAGAATCATTACCGTATTCATTTGTAAAATAAGGAGATGGGTGAAGAAATCCATCGGTTATAGAATAAGAACGAAGACCTCGGGCCGCTGTGCCGTATCGAAGAGAGCGATGTGCCATTTAAATGTTCTCTTAAACAAATTCTGATAACCGATGAGAATACGATACGGCAGAGCGTGTACACTTACGAGAGTTTTACACTTGTTTTAACATTCGTCACAAGAGAATATCCGTACGTACTCTCGGAATGTTTAAACAGGCGGAGAGGCGAGATTAGGTGGAGCCTCTCCTCGCGCCGAGAGCCAGGGCTAAGGCGGACGCGGAGCGTGGTCCTCGCGCCTCATCCCCGGCTATAAATAACCAAAACTCACACGAGCGGCGTAACGGTGGCGACGCCGGTATTGCCAGCGCTAAAACAAAATTCACCCACACCGTACCCGACGCTTTCTAGTGTTCAGACTATCGCGTCAGTTAAAACATAAGTTACGCAACACATCGACCGCGCAATTATATATATGTATGATGCGGTCGAGCGATGAAATCATTAAAGCGATCCATTTCGAAGCAATATTAGCATAAGAGTTATTCAGTCATTTGTCTATTCGCGGCTTTACCTTCTGCTCGAGCGTGGGTTCCTGGTCCAGAAACTCGAAGTAGAAGGGATGCTGGGAGTTGCTGTAGTCGTAGCTCCACTCCTGCAAGAACGGGACGGTCAGCGGCGGTCAGAATGTCAATCGGCGGCCGGAGAGAGAAAGGGCGAGCGGGAGGGTGGAGGAAGACGTACCTGAAAGTGGTTGGCGATGTCGAAGGCGCGATGGTTGTAGGCGCAGTACTCGAAGTCGATGAGCATCAGCCGCGGCTCGCCGAGGTCCGACAGGCTCGAAGACACCGAGTCGCTCGAATCTTCCAGGGGATAGGTCTGCACTAGCACTCCTTCCTCTTCTTCCGCGCTCGTCTCTTCTTCGACCAGGAGCACGTTTCCCTCTTGCATGTCGTTGTGGCAGAAGACGACGGGAGAGTTGACGGTGTTGGTCAGCTTCCGAACCCACTCGATTTCCGCCTCCCAGTCGACTGAGCGGAGACGCTCCATAATTTTGCGTTCCTCGCCTTTCTACGATGAACCATTGATATTACAATGAGAGCATTTTTGTGACGAGAGCCAAAGCTATAAATTATACACTACTATATTTATACGTACCAGATCGTGCACCGTAAACCGTTCTTCTTTTGCGGTCCGCAGCCACTTAGACATGGTCTTCCACAGCCAGTTGGGTTCCTTAGACAGCGGTACCTCCATGGAGTGTATGGCCGCCATCTTCTCCGCTATCTTCATGGACAGGGCTGGCTCCGATAGCTCTTTAGTGAGGAGGGATCGCGCCTACGTTTGAAAATATTAGGTCAATCGAAGTATCTTTCTAACTCATAGATATTCGCATTAAACAATGTAAATATTAGTTATTTTGAATACTACAGCAGTTGGTAAAGTCAGTTTCCGCACTTAGACTCGTAGCCTAGCTCCTTCCAGAAGCACAGAAATCTCCTGGGCACATCGCAAGCTTCACGGAGCGACCTCACTGCTATTTTGAATACTAAGTATAAAGCACAAACATAAAACGCTCGCCATACTGTAAGGTTTCTCGACGTCCGTCGATTCACCAATGAGCGCCGCTATGTTGAACCATACGACTTTGGGTCCCGTTCCTAAAGAATAGTGCGTACCTGATTCATATGTCTGGCAACGTGAGTACCCATAGGAGGCGGTGTCGCCTAACATCACACAGGCCTCCTAACTGTTTTATATAAAAAAGAAAAGAGAAAAAGGAGAGAGAGATATAACACTATAATATACCGGAATGTATGCCTCGATGCGTCCCCCTGAGAACACCCCGTGCAGTTTGGGTCCGAGTCGCCGCTCGGACAGCAAAGTGAATATCACAGATTCGGTTACGATCGCATCCATCGCCCGCTCGCCGTGCACTTGGCCGTAAATACGCAGCAACACCTGGGAAAGCGGCCCCGCTGAGTTTTACAATTCATTCAGTTTTAGGAAAAGCTATACCATGCGTGGCCTGGGAGAGTGGAGTACCTTTTTGGGCTCGTCTAGCGAGAAAGAGTGTTCGCTGAGCGTCTTGATGCGGTCCTGCGGCGCATCGCGATACGTGGCCCGCGAATCCGGCAAAGCGACGTAGTACAAGAAGTTGGACAGGCCTCCGCTGGAAACGATATCTTAGTATAACTAAAACTAGGTTTGTCTCTGATACCGAATCATAGATAATTATATTGAGGCATGTTCATGTATCTTAAGGTTAATGCTATGCGACCCGAGATCACCAAACTTAGTATTAAAATTGTAAAATTCAATAGGCCCGTCCTCACCGAACGATCCGTCGCGATCCGATCGCGCGCGGCATGAGCGCGATCCAAATGTGCAGGCGGTGTGGAAGTACCGCGCGCGCTCCAGACCGCGTGCGATCCATTTGTTGTCGGTTTTTTGTTCACGCTCAAAGGGGCCTCGGTCACTTGCCGCGCGCGGTATGGACGGTTGTGATTTGAATCGAGTGATCCAACGTTATGGATAATTCACTATGTATTCTTTTAATATCCCTTTATAGGGAGAATAAATGTTTATGGAAGCCTAATGATATTACACAAATAGTAGGCAAACTACGGACTAGTTTGCCTACTATTTGCGATGAACAAAAGTCAAATTGATCTGCAGACAAAGTTCATCTGATTCAGTATGGATCCGCTGGAGCGTGTTGGATCAGCCAGTCAGTATCGCAAAAGATTGCTGTTGGATCGGCCTAGTACGATTCACGCTCCACGCATCGCGATCTTGGATCGTGGATCGCGGGATCGCCGATCCATTTTGGATCGTTCGGTGTGGACGCGGCTAATAAGTATAAATATATATATTTCTTATACTGTGTTGAACGAATGTTGTTTAAACAAGCTTGGTTTCATTTATTAATCTAATATGAAACACAAAAGGTATGGATATAAAATAAAACCTCCTATTGATGTTATTTTACAGTCTAAGTAGTACATACAAAGTAAAATTTACACGTATATATATGTACTTTATAAAACTTTTGTGAAGAACAAAGTTCGCATCAGACCATAGTTCATTGACAATTTTACTGGAATAACATATTTAATAAGAGATTGTACCAACAATAACATTAATTAAACCAATGCATAAATATTTACAATGGTTTCTTTAATTGAAGCGGTCGTTTCTCATTAGACCGTGTTTAAATGCGATTGCAATTGAAATTAATGTTTGTCAAAGCAATCTCTGACAAATATTGTGCATTTTATAAATGCCTAAAGAGGCATGTTAACGAACAAAGCGAATGGCCCTACTGAATCCTTTCAGTCTATGTAATGAACATTGGAGATAACATTATTTATTTAACTATGAATCATATAAAGTGGGCCATCGGAAAAGTACAGCTGATAACATCACTCTATTAAGACGTAGTTGTACTGTTTGTCAGACCACGTGTTATATTTATATCCTCGTTTCCCATAATAATCTCGGTTTGATCATTAAACGAAGGCTGCCGTTTTCAAAGGTAAATAAAACTAGTCATACAAATGTTTTGCGGTTATATTGCGGCAACCTTCTGGTCTCGGTGTTATACGTTTAGGTCGTGTTAATAATGGCATATGTGATATATTTGTATTTAGAATTCTTAATTACAAGAACAGTACATTAAATTACCTCTGAAGGTGACACTTGCATTAGTTTTCCTCGGTGCGATCATAAAAAACATCGACGGCGACAAGAATTGTTAGTCATAAATGGAAAGATACCTATGTTTTCGCTTTTTAAACTAATTTATCTAGTCATTCGTAACTGGAAATTATATGTGTATAAGCACATATATGACTATAGCTGTTGTGGATATATTATAGAACTATCTGGGATTCTGTGTAACAGACGACGATAGTATATTAAATGCCTCGTAACGTATCTTATGCCCGCTAGTTTTTATTTTGCAGTAACTAATAAGTAATTTAAAGAATAATTGTGTCGATCACCCTAGGGTGAATCCTTTCACAGATAAAGAGATCGACAAAAGACTTCAATGTAACTAGTCTTCTTGTAATTTTGGTATTTTCACTTTATCCAATACGAATAAACAATGTATATATGTATGTTATATTGTGGTCTATGGTCAATTTGTAGCGACATTGTTTTTCTGTAAAATACATTACAGAATGTTCGGGAGTGTAATTACACATACGCTCAAAATGTATTTATTTAAAAGACAATTTGTTACAGAAAGCCGCTTATCGCGTGTAGCGCGTGCCTTGCGCCGGTGGACTAGCTTGTTCAAGGTCACGGACGCCTTGTATTTACGTTTTTTACTCGATGTTATTTACAATCAAAGATAAGGTCAGATAATACTATTCCGCCCTCATTTTTTATGTCAATTTACAAAGAAATTTGTAATTGATTATTGGAATCCGCGTTTCACTCACAATTAGATTTTATACATAAATAAATATGTAAAGCTTTCTCCGTCATTCATGTTTTATTATTTTACTTTCGGAAGAGGGTAAACACATTTATAAATATATTGCGTCGCGATTTTTCAAGGCCCAACAAAACACGTCTCGAACTGGGATCAATATTTACAAACAACATTGTTTATTTCTGCAAGTTATCACTCATTTTAACATCCGGTTCATTATAATAATATTTTGCGATCAAACTTTTTATATTAACTAAGTATTACTCGGTGCGAACACACGTCGTGGTATTATACGTGAGTAATGACTATAAATGAGAGAGCCCATAACGTAACATTTGTTTCGATGTTCTTCTAGAGAAGTCAGAAAAGGGCATTACTTATCATTTATCAACACGGAACTGCAATGGCAAATAAATACTTACAACCTTTTAAATGAGGTTGTTGTTAACAATTATAGAGTATAGGAGTTGTCACTACTTATTTCAAGCTGACTGCTGCGGTTTGCGAGATGAAACAATAACATTTTGTATTAAGCTATTCTCATAGTGTAGATATATTTTTGTATCTGAGATGTATGTTTACCTAAAATGTAAAAATGCGATAGAGATAAAAGGCGTGCAAATGCAGGCGCCACAATTAACCTTTCTGTACGATGGATTTGCGGTGAAATCTATGTAGACGGTCTGATTTACATATATTAACTTAATACAATTTAATTTTTCTCACTGTCTTGCGTAAACGCAAGTTTTTCAGTTAATACTATATTTGCATGCACAAAAAACGGCGTGCACTGGGAGAGAGAGAGAGAAGTTGTTTCACGACATATTTGATTCCAATATAGTACGCGCACACATCTTTGTTTTGTTGCACACAAAACTTAAGGGAGGAACTAGAATTCCGTCAGGGGCTGAATCAAAGTTATTTTTTGAAGTTATACTTCTTTAGGCGCCTTATGAAAAATTGATGAGAGTGAAATTTTACGATGCGCGCGCACCGTTACACAAAATTAACAGAATGAAGTTGCCCACGGAAGATGCTACGGCATTGGACTTAATTTAAAAACAACATTCGAATAATAATATAATTTATGTTACACTTAATATAAGAAAATAATAATAAATATTTAATTTTTCAAATGTAAACTGAACTTTACTGACTATAATGACTCCTTTTCCAATCTTTGATTATTTAATTGTAATTAATTATTTGCATGCAATCAAAAACTATTTTTAATAATGCCAAAGAAGTATAACTTCTTACGCGCGTACATAAGTACGCGCACCCTTTTTTTTTTACTAAGACTGTATACACAAGTTTGTGTGTTTCTTTAGTTTTGAAGAAGAAGATGTAAGAGTCAAATTTACCACAATTGTGGCTAATCGAGAGAATGAGATAAGGTCATTATTTTTAGATTACCTAATCCTTTTAAAGTCTAGGTCTCTTGGGTCTACAGTTTTCCAGGCGCCGTGGAGGTAGTTTCGACAGATCCTTCCAGCCACTTCACGCATCTCTTCCTCGCTCCCGCACATCTGCAGTTTCTGTAAGCGACAAGAGAATATAAAGGTTATATTGTAAGTGGATGATGCCATTAAGTTGAATATGAACTAGTACATTAGAATTTTAAATAGCTTTGATGAAGTAATGAATTCATCACCCATTAAAAAGTCATATAGTTTTATGTAGCTTAAGACAATCCTAAATGATTAAATAAAATGTTACGTTCGTGAGCCAGGTCAGCTAGTTGAATATTTTTGGCAGGGACATCACAAAACATTCTGCATATGTCCATCGCATAAGTACATTAAATTAATCATATCACCTGCTGTAGTTAGTCAACAATCATGTTTATTATTTGTTCATAAATACTACAAGTTAATAAAAATATTATTGTAATTTGGCACCTTTATTAAAATATTGTATACATACGCACATCTAAATATATATATTGTTCGTCTAACATTCATACATACTGTTATGTTTACTGAATGTTACAAAATGCAAGTTTCTTATATTATGTACTTAAATTAGTGAACAAATGAAATTGATATAAAAATAATAGTAATTTTAAGAGTTAATCCATCTATGACATGTGCCATATCACTTTATGGCAGTTATAAAGTGCCTTATAGAGTAATCTACTCAAATCCAAGAATAACAATATCTTGGGCCTTTACCTCGCACGAGCCACACAATAATTTATCTTTATGATAAGAAAGTGCTTTTTGAGCCTTGAACTTGTGAAAATTAATATAGTTAATAGCTGCTATACAGGATTCACTATTCAAGAGTAAAGAAATATAATGTACCCATATAGCCACATAATTATTTAATGCTAGTCTGTAATTGTTTAAATAGCCTAGATTATATATTCATATTTTAAAAAATTAAAGTAAAATATGAAAGTTATAGCACATTACTTAATTAGTCATTGATATAGGTTTAAAAAAGCAAAGGTGTTTTGTTTTCTTTTCATTATATAGAGAGCAATAAACTGATTGTTTTACAGTGCGTGTAGTAAAATTTATGATAAGATATCAGAACACATAGTGAGGATTATGTTGTTACCAACATAGTATCATCAAGGACAGTCATAAATTCAACATGCTGTTGTTAGTCTCTAGAATAAATGACTGCTTTAAAAACACATGCTCAACAAGTAACAGCAGAGCTATTCAAAGCAAACTTCTCAGTTTTAATCTGAAAAATATTTTAGTAGTGTTTACAAGCACATATTTTTAAATGTTGTACTTTATTATTACAACACTTAATTCGTAAATTAAGAGCAGCTTGCTGTGATTACTAATTGACACTATCATATAGTGGAATTTTCCATTGATAATTAAATATACATCACTGATAAAAAAATACAAACATAAAAAGTGAATATAAAATCATTGCCATTAGGTTGGGATGCTAACAACTGTTTTTAAAGGAAATCGTAATATAAGAAAATAAAACTGGTATCAAAAATAACAACCTACTAGTATGTTCTCCAATATTATTTTATTAAATGAAAATATTTAAAAACTAGTATTGCAGCTCCTTTCCTAATTAATGTAAATAGTACAAAAATATTAAGTGTTAGGTCCAGGTGTAGGATTCTGTAAATGAAAAAGGAAATTATTTAAAAGCTAAAACATTTAAATACTGTACTATATAGTAGTAATATATATGTATCAGATAAGAGAACTGTTGTTCAGTATCACTTATCAGTCAGACAGTAATAAAATTCAACAGTCAAGTCTATGCAAACTTATTTGTTCTTATATGACAAACATTGTTCTTACATATTTTCCAACACAATGAAAGTATTTTTTTATTATTTCATGATAAATACAAGGCAAACACGACCACAATCTTCTGAAAATCTTAAGATATATTCCTGTGACGTAACATAAAATTTTCCACAAAAATGATAATTCTAATTAAGTCGTGATTAAATAATTAGGGGACGGAAACAGACCTCGCACTCGCGAACATAACGCCTCACAAACAATTGTGTTTTTAACTGATAGCAATTTCTTAATATTTTCCCTATGCCAATCATTTTAAAGTAAAACTGTTTTCTTGAATAACAAAAATTAATTTTTACACGGTACTTAAAGTTTTTCAGCGATCAGTTAATTTCGCGCTGCTACGTCGTTCTATGTGTGCGTGAATGTATTGATTTTTGACATTGACAGCCGTCAAATATTTTCAACAACTGTGACGCAATCTGTAAAATAATTCTCGTTGTGTATTTATAATTGAAGCTGTTCATAATTAAGCGAAATTAACTATGAAGTTTTATTATATTATATATATATCCAATATATTTGTGAAATAGACATTCATTATATAAATGCAAACGATTTTTAATAGCGTATAAGTTGTATTGCGAAAACATATAGTACACATGAATTTCTTTAATAACGTTTAAATTGTTGTTAATTCTATGTAAATACCGTTCAAATAAGCCGGGGTTTGAATAAAAAAATTGTTAATTGAGATAATTATTTTCTTTTACTAAGAAATAAATAAAACAGTAGATATTATTTCTTAAAAAGGTGATCTTATAATTATTATACCGTAAGATTACTTTATTTAGTTGCTTTATTTTTTTTAGTTTACCAAATACCTAATATTTCATTTTCCATTTCTAGCATAATACATACGTCACAGGGTGGTCTGATGTTCGCGATGCAAATTATCGTTTTTGCAAACTGAAAGCCTTCCCGCTGTTAGGATTTATTGGAACTTCAAATATTACCTTAGCCATCGTTTTCAAGAAGTCTTTTTGAAAGATAATACAGAATATTTATATTTTTAATTCAATTACAAAAATACACTAGTGCTTATTCACATTTAGACGTCCTAACTACGCAAGGTATAAATTCAAACTGACGAGTGACGAGAGTCGAGACTCGAGAGCCGTCAATTCACTGTTCAGTCGAGACTGGAAAATTGACGCGCACTGTTGTCACTTGTCTGTTGACACTTGACGCGTTTGCCAAGAACACTTGCTTGAAGTTGAACAGCAACAGCAGTAGTGTTGCCATAATATAACTTTTCAACTATATCATACATTTTTTTTAAATCACAAGCTATTAAGGTAGATTTAAACAAAAAAATAATAAAATGTCGAGAAAACTTGAATAATAATAATGCAAGAGGTTGATGCAGTGTATTCATTGCATGCGAATTTCTAGGATGTCAATCGATGATCGACATAATAACGGATTATTCTCGAGGTGTTATGATGAAACGTATGGGCTGAGACTATATGTAGAAAGAAGAAAATTTGTTCATTTGAAAATGACAGTTCGTATCGACAGTACCGTTATTTTTATACAACATAAGCAACGCCATGACACTGGGGTTGTTAAAAAATAATCGATTTTTATTTAAATCGATAATTTTTTCTTATAATCGATTTTCATAATAATATTAAACGATTTTAATAAATCGATTATATAAATTAAGCGTTTAAATCAATTTTCATAAACAGTGCGCTATTTGATAAATAATTCGGAAACACTAAAAAAGTGCACCTTTTTTCGGTCGCAACGTTTTTGGATCCCAGATTTAAAAAAATCATTTAGATGATAACCCTTTATCTTTCTCAAAAACAATAAATTAATCTAAGAAATGTTTAAATTGAATACTAAAAATGATAATAATTCGGAAGAGGGTAGTTCTAAATTATCCGTTTCATCAAAATCTACGGTCAACGTACAAGACATATGGCAGGTACACCACGAAAAAATAATGGCCTTGGCATCTAACCCATCAATGGTCAAAAATACCGAATTGGACCTATACGTTGCGGCACCGCTATCGGATCTTATGGTAGATAGGTCTAGATAGAGATCTTGGGTCTCTCAATGTCTGGAATAGTTCTGAAGGGACTTTTCCTAAGCTAACCAAATTGCCTCTAAAGCATGTCTCTGTGATGGCCACTTCTGCTCCATCCGAAAGATTATTTTCCAAAGCGGGAAATATGGACAGGAAAACACGAAACCGTATTTTAGGAAAGAGATTATCAAAATTATTATTTTTGAACTGCTTACCTGAAAATTTATGGTAATATCATTCTAATCAAATCTAAAATTTTTGAACATTTTGTGACAATACGTTAACGTTGTCGTTTAGCTTTTCTACTTATCGTTTCATTTTATTTTAATACTATTATTACGTATTACGAGACTGAAAATTAGTGCCAATAATTATTTTTCGTTTTTTGATAGTTTAAACTTCAGAATTAACGAAATATTTGTTTCATATTTAAGTTTTTAAGACCATAACGAAGTCGTTTAGTTTTTTTTTTTTAATTATCGCTTTAAGTATTTTATTTTAATACTAGTCAAATGTAAAATAAGATTGAACATTTGTGACAATCATTATTTTAGTTTTTGAGACAATAAGGTTGTCATTTTGATGGGATACTCATCATTTCATTTTTATTATTTACGTTTAACGGCACTGAATTTTTTTATCAATAATAATATTTGATTTCCATATTCCTTATCTTGAAAGTTTAAGGAAACATTCGTTTTGATTTTTAGTTTTGAATTGGTTATTTTGTTTATTCATATCGTTTTATGGTTTTTTAACCAAATAAATTGATAATATGAACTCTTAGGTTGCATGTAGATTTTTAAAACTAGAAAATAATAGATTTTTCGCAGAAATCGATTATTTATTTCTAATAAAATCGATTTTTTACAAATCGATTAAAATTGAATTAAGAAAAATGATTTTTATTTTATCGATTCTTTTTCATTAACCTCACATCCCTACATGACAATGCTACGAAGTACGAAAAGACACACATGAAGAGCGAGTACACAATACAGATTCGTCGTTTTGAAGTGCGCGCTTTGGTAACGTTTTTTGCGACAGTGTAGAAGAAACAACGTTTCTCCAACATGTTTTTATCACCCTTGCAACATACTAGACAATAGACATCGGTGAAAAACGGCAACGCCGCGCATTGCTAGTTCGCTAGGATGAAAAGAATGCCTACAATCGGGACGTAAATATTATAATATTAGCTATAGTTCACTTGTGTCGGGATCATAACAATTAAGATTAATAATATACGATTGTTTACTTTTTAGATGTTCAGAAGTGTCGTATGAATATTTCAATAAATCACTACTACTATATCTAATGTGTGCCGTAATACATTTTTACGTTTGATTAAATTGGGTTAACTCACGTTAATAAAGTTATAACCCAATACTTACAAACTTAATATAAAAACCGTACGTAACATCATATGACTTAGTGAAAAAGCAGCGCGCGAGAAGCTATGAACTAGATGCTAGAGCTGTAGGTTCGACAACATCGATGATTTTTGCATTAATAATTGACAAAGAAAAGTTCGAAATTATGAAGAAACAGAACAAATTATTACATATTCCGATATTTTTTATCAACAGCTGACTTAATGAAAAGTAATTTTGATAAAGAAGAACCTTTTAATATATTTATTTGTTGATTAAGAGTAGTGAGGAAGTGTGAGAGAGAAAGAGCGAGCGAGACTACGAAGAATGAATGAAGGGCGCAAAGAATGAATGAATAAGCGTTCAAAATTTGAATAAACCTTATTTGTGGATGCCTTCAAAGAAGACATAATTTGTTTCGTAAGTTGCATTGGTCGTGCGGGAGGCCGTGAGTTAACATCGATGTTCGATTCAGTTAACATCGATGTTACGATATTTTTGGTATAGCAACATCGATGTTGTTATTGTTATTACAATATGTTTTTTTGTAAAAAACAATTTTGAATGGAATTGATGCAAGGAACTTAATAGACATAGATAAATATGAAAATACATCAAGAATATCAGCAAATTAGTACAGGTAAATATTTTTTTCCTTTTAGCTAAGGTTTTCTGGCATCTTAGTATGTAAGTCTTTGAAATTGTGCTTTAATTTGAAAAAATAAATTATTCTACTATTTAAGTGTATTGTTTGTAATCATTAAGTAAAATTATAGTACATTTTATTAGTATATTTCAGGTGTGAAAGCAGTCACTAATGAGCTTAATTAGTAGTTCTAAAAATATGACTGTAATTATATTAGAAGAAAATTATCAATCTTTTAAATTTATCAAATCAAATGGATGCTTAATGTATGCTTCATGAACTTGTAAGTAATGGTAAGTAGACATTTTCTTTAGTTATTTCTTAATAATAATAATAAATTGTTAAATAATTTCTTAATAACAAAATAAATGTATGAGGTACATTCAGATTAATTAATTATAAAAAATACAGCACAATCAGTCATATAAAAATAGGCATATAAATGTCATATTAATTAGTAAGCTAAAATAGAAAAGTTAAATTAACTTGTCTTTTTTAAATTTAGAATAAAGTAAAGAAATGACTAGTAGGTATGTGTATCAGATTCACAAATTTTATTTTCAAACTTTTAATATTAATGTTACCTACTGAATAAACCTTGGTGTGATCTTACACAAGTTCGTCAGTTTTCTATTTAATCAAGTACTAACAAAAATAAATATTTTCTTTTCAGAAAAAGAGAAGAAAATGGCAACTAAAAGTATTAATAGAAACCACCAATGAACAAATTGTATTAAAGTCTAAGCTATCATTTATTTAAGCGTTATATTATATACCTGAAAATGAGTGATCCAAGTATATACCAAACCTCCACAAATACTTCAAATATGTCTCTGTAGTCAGAAATCCGACAAACCTTAAGAACTCAGCACCAGGTAGACATGAAGTAAGATCATGCTACACATAGCCAATGAAGGGGTAAAAACATTCCAGCAATGGCAGATTCCACAAGAGCAAGCAGGCTTTGTTAAGGGCAGAGGTACAAGACAATCAATTGAAAAGAGCCGAGAATTAACACAGGTGTCTACTTATGTGCTTCATTGACATTTCAAAAGCAGACTGCATACACTGGGGTTACTTGTGGAACATCCTTTTGGAAATAGGAGTTCTATAACGCCTTACTACCCTTATATCGGATTTGTACCTCATTGGACATCGCTTGTGAGGTACAAATCCGCTATACTTATCAACCATGTGATTTCCAATCATTTTAAGCCCAAAAAAATATTTAATATATATGGGGAATATATAATGCGAAGACCCCTAGATGGATGGGATAATGAGTATCCATTAGTGGTGTAAAAATTAGCAACCTTAGATATGCCGACGACACCACCCTCTTGGCATCAAATGAACATAATAATAATAATAAGCCTTTATTCATCCACATCTTATTGACATACATTTAATATAGATAGAGATATAAATACACTTTAACTAAGATGCGGCCCCTGTCTGGGTGAAGGCCTCTTCCAACTTTTCCCACCCCAATTTATTTTGAGCCATCGTCATCCAATTTGTTCCAGCTACCCTCTCGATCCCGTCGGCCCAACGCTCTATTGGTCTTCCTATGTTCCTTTTGGACCACTCCATTCGGTTACTGCTTTAGACCATCTGTCGTCTGTACCATGGGCCGCGTGGCCTGCCCATCTCCATTTAAGTTTTAGGGCGTATTGCTGGGCATCAATAATTTTTGGTTTTTCTGCGAATGAATTCACTTGTATGTTTGTCGCGTAATTGAATTCCGAGAATACTCCTTTCTATCGCACGCTGGCACGAACGTATTTTGGCTTTTGTTTTGTTTGGGCACCATATGTATGGCAAGGCAGCAAGTAGGAATCCACCACCTTTTTCTTTAACTTAAGTAGGAGATTACCTTTGAGGATTTCGTTTAAGCTCCAAAACTTCTTCCAAGGTGAGTGATGCGGCGCTCCAGTTCTTTGTCGTGTCTTTGTTTCTTAAATGAAACCTGTTTACCGAGATAAGTATAGCTGTCTACATACTCAATGGCTGTTCCGTTAATCATAAATGTTGTCGTTGTTGTGTAAATGTTGTTATTTGTTGCAACTTTTGTTTTTAAAGTATTTATTTGTAGTCCTATTTTTTACTGGCAGTATTTAGGTCTTCTATCATTTCTTGTACTTGATTTGGCATTTCTGAAAACAATACTATATCGTCTGCAAAACGTAGGTTGCTCAAATATCTCGAGTCTATCTGTATTCCTTTCCTTTCCCATCGCAGTTCTTTCATAATATGTTTTTTGGTTTGATTGTTGGCATAGTCTGATATAGCAAGTTTATATTGATTATTTTATTATTTTTCATAACACTATTTTATTTTTAGTTTATTCTTATATTTTTATATTTAGGGTATGTACATGGTTTATAAAACATTTTTACAAACTAAAATCACTTATAGGCAGATTTTGGTCAATATCAAAAAGTATTCCGCAATCTGTACGTCATATGATCTACAATTGTTCAGTCAAGCCACACTTCTTATACCTAACCGAAATATGGGGCACAGCATGCAAAAACAAAATTTCTAAGATACGAACACTACAAAATAAATTAATAAAAGCACCACTTAGATACAGTTCTTTAACAACGTGAGTGGTGTTAGTTTGAAGGACGGCTATAAATATCTTGGGTGATAAGGGATCTGCTTGTTTTATTTCTCTTCAAATACAAAATTTTGGTTCAAGTCTGTCTAGTTTTACTTTACTGGTAGTCTTCTTATATATGTCTTTAATAATGTTTATATATATGGCTGGTATGCCTTGATATGAAAGCGCCTGCCAAATACTTTCATGTGAGATGCAGTCAAATGCTTTTCTACTATTAAATCTACCGTGCGTATATCAGTCGTTGAATATCCTGCCCGAAATCCAGCTTGCTCTATAGTTTGGTGCTTTTCTATAAATATAGCCATTCTTTTTTCTAGACATATTGCGAACAGTTAGGGATGTGACATTCTGCATAAAAAATCGATTTTTTAGTAATCGATTATTTTTTTAGCATGAATAACGTTTAAGAATAATCAAAATTGAAATTAACTTAATCTCGTTTTGATAGATTTTAAGTGAAATTTGATAAATGCTGAGTGTATGCCTTTTCAGTAGCACATTGCAGTATTTTTGTTGTCTTTTTAATTGTATGTAGTCTTGTGCTGCTGAATAAATTTATTTTACTTTTAAATTATAGTGTGCCATTCAAACTTGAGTTTTTGTAAAATTAACTGCTTTTATCATCCTTTTGATGTTTTACAAAAAAACATCAATGTATCGAGTATATCAATACATCTTCAAAGAATCCGATTCAATGTATCGCATTGTAAACATCGTTGTGTATCGAATATCCCTAATAGTTCGAGGTCCGGGTTATAAAAGACCAGACATAATGTCGGGAGGTGGCAGATAAAAAATCGATTATGATTGATTTTCAATTATAAAAATAATCGATTATTAATCGATTATTTTAAATATAAGAATCGCGTAAAAAATTCGATTTTTACTTTTAAAAAAATCGATTAAAATCGATTTTTTTAATAATCGATTATTTTTTCACATCCCTACGAACAGTTTGTACGTAGTCGGTCCCAAAGTTCTGTCATAAATAGAAATAATGATAAAAACTAAAGTACTGATCAGTTTTTAATGAGTGATGTATCAATTAATAGTACATAAATTAAGAAATAGAAATAGCATAAAATTATTCGAAATGACCTCCCTTATTTTTAATACAGGCCCTTAAGCGCCGCGGCCAGTCGTCTATCGCAGCACGCACCATATTCATGTCGATTTCAGTGACTGCTTTTTTTAAAGATGACTTCAGACACTCCAAATTTTTATGGGGTTTATCACAGACCTTCCTCTCTAAGACCTGCCAAATTTTATAGTCCAAAGGATTAAGGTCTGGACTGGAGGAAGGCCAATCCTCATGTCTAATTAAGTCGATGTTTTGACGCTCAAACCAGGTTTGAGTGGTCTTGGCTTTGTGTGCAGGCGCAGAGTCCTGTTGGAACACAAAGTGATGTCCCGAAAATAGCGTGCTGGGCAGGTCTTTGACAAGCTGGTCCAAAACCGTGTCTTGATACACTTTTGCACTGGTTTTGACCCCCTTTTCGCAAAAATGAACCTCAGTTGGCCCGTAATAAGACACTCCCAACCAGACCATTACTGATGATGGATGATGTCCATGTTGCACCCTCGGAACTTTATTTCCAGCTTCTTCAGAACTCCTAGCGTACACTCTATCATTCTGTTTATTGTACTTCTCTTCAATATCGAAAAATTTTTCGTCCGTAAAGAGGATATCACGGTGTCGGTTTTTCGCGTACCGCTTTAACAAACCCCGCGATCTCTTAAGCCTTATTGCTTTTAGACGAGCATTAAGTAGGTGCCCACTCTTTCTTTTGTATGCCCGTAGACCAAGATCTTCATTTAAAACCTTTTTTACTGTTTTCCTACTAACACCCATCTGCAAAGCCATCAACTTCTGTTTTCGGACAGGATTTCTTGCTATCCGCGCCTTGATAGCTTTGATCACTGCTGGTGTCCTTGCGGAGCGTGGCCGGCCAGTTCTTTTCTTGTCCTCAACACTGGAGACTTCATTGTACCTATCAATAGTACGGTACACAAACCTAAGCGTTATATTTAAATTTTTGAGCAACTTGAAAATGGTACTCGCCGAGTGCCCACAGCGGTGCAACGCAATAACAGCTATTCGGTTTTCTTTCAATGTCCACTCCATCTTGAAAATTTACGGAAAGTGATTGTTTTTTGTTTTAAAACAATAGTCAAACAATCAAAAATAGAATGCAATAATTTTTTTATAAAATCACGTAATTTAAAAATAATGTGCCAGTGACAGAACTTTGGGACCAACTACGTACAAATTTGGTAGAAGACTGATAGGGCGGTAATTGCCAATATCTGAAGGATCACCTTTTTTATAAACAGAACTATATGGGATTCACCCCAAATTTTGGGAATTTCTTGATTTTCCAATATCTTGTTGAATTTTTAAGGCTTCATTTGGAATACTGTCAGGTCCTGGACTTCTGTCATTCTTTAGCTTATTAATATACGTTAGAATTTCATTGGAATCGAAGGGTGAGACTGGTGGAGCTTGTTGTAAGTCAAAGTCTGATGCTATATTTATTATGTCATTTCGCGATTTAAATTTGTCTGAGTATCTCTGGGATTTTAAAGTATGAATCCATTTTTTTTTCTTGCTAAGTTCTTTGAAGGCTTTCTTTTGACTACCGGTATTAATTAAGTTCCTTTCAATTAAATCCGTTCTGTATTTTTTATAGTCGTATTTTATAATTTTATTTGTAAGCTTATATAAAGCGGTCAGTTTGCTTTTTCTTCTTTGGTCTTGGATGGGTTGGATTGCAGTATATAACGTTTTTTAATTTGTTGTTTTGTTTCATCCGAAATAATTTCTGGTTTTGTTTTCTTTATAGTCACGCTTCCCAAGCTTTGTTTTATCGCGGCGGCCAATCGACTTAAAGATCAAAAGGTAAGTGGGGGAGAGCAGGGGATAGCGCTCGCGATAACGTTTGGCTAACAAACCAGACGGCTCATTGGTCTAGTGGTTAGTACCCCTGACTGCGAATCCATTGGTCCCGGGTCCGATCCCCGGTTGAGACAAACATCGATGTGATGAGCATTTGGTGTTGTGAAAAGAAAAAAAAAACCTACTTTTACTTAGATTTACTACCTATAGATGGATCCGAAACGTAGCGGTGGTATAGGTGGTCGAGGGGAAGATATCAGCGAAAAATGCCCACGTCAAACAGGGTCTTGCCATAGTCATTTACTTCTGTGTGTTTACTACACACAGAAGTAAATCACTATGGCTATAATAATTAAAGTAAAAATGATTTTATTACCTACCTATATTTCAGATTGTATATAAGATTAATGATTAAAGCGGATAAAACTTTTAAAAAAAACAGCCAGTGCTAAATAACTGAATCAGATTCAAAATAATGGTTAAGTTGTACCTTAACGTCTTGCTTAGTCTTGTGTGATAGTTTCTGGTTCTTCTGTATGATGGCAGAGTAGTTGCTCTCACCCTGGTAATAACATAAATATATAATCAATTATATATTATTTCCTACCTGTCGCGCGGTATACTGGTTGCACGAGACACGCCCACGACTGCAAATTGAGGGGCTCAAGGGTTTAATGAGATACACTATGAATCAGGGAAATAGATCATATCCCCGAGTAAGATGGGAAAACCTTTGCCTCATGCAAAAAAAATTACTTCGTCTCGAAAAATTTCTTATGTCTAGGGTTAAGGTGCCCTAGGCTGCGCGCGTCCCGAGATAGGGAAGCTGCGCGCTGGAAGTAGTGATACTAACAAAATATCAGTTTCAACTTAAATAGTAACGCTTGTCACATAAACAGTATATGAAAGATTATTTGAAATATTTATCTCTCCTGTGCATACTCCCTGGCAAATTTTCTTGCCAGAATGGAAAAAATAACATGTTCCACATCTCTTCTGTCGATACCGATACTACCATTCCGATACGAACAAATCAAGTGAATCAAATCGGGCGTTCTATGGACAAGGGCGCTCCATACATTAAAACATTTCTAAACAATTTAATTCAAAAAAAAAAACATAAATAGAACGCCAAACTATAGCTTTTCAACAAAATATCGAAACACATTCGGTAATCTATCTAAAGAATGTATAACAATCTGGATAGGTTAGGCCGTTTTACTATTACTATGTTATACTATTATATTTAATATTAGTGTGAAGGAAGGGAAGGAATAAACATATATGTAGATATGTGGTAAGACCCACCGTAAGCCTCTGTCTTTGTTCTAAGTTAATTAGTCGCTTCTCCATAAACCCAAGTCGTTTGTTGTAGTCATCAGCGATGCATCGACACAAATTCATAGACTCTCCAAAGATTCGGGCCTTGCATTTCAACTGCTCGAAGTCTGATCGGAATCTAAAACATAATCAATAATGCTAAGATGTTAGGTATGTCACAAACCACAAAATTGGAGAAAAAAAGACAACAAAAAGCCACAGCCATTAAAAAGTGTCTATTTTAAATACGTTGGTGAAGATTAACATCATTCGGTAATTCGGTAACGCGTCACTTCCGCTTGTAAATTAATTTTGGAATAAAACATATTATTTTACCTTGAAATGGAAGAAGTCAAAGACGGACGTGATGTTGAAGTTGCAGTATCGACGGTGGAAGACGTGAGAGATTCGCTGGGCAGAGGACGTCGGCCTCCTACTCTTGGCCATGCCCCTTCGCTGCTCGAAGAAGAGCCAACACCATCCGTCCCCGCCGACCGCATTATCCCATATTTCACAAACTTTCTATTGAAAGACCGATAAAACATCCAACTAATTTTCAGTTTATCACACACTAGTAATTTTTTTAGAAACCACGTATTTAGACATTCAAGAACTCGAAATTTTTTATCAATCAACATGACAGACGTCAGTGTGCTGCGAAAATACCTTATATGAGCTTTTAAACGAAATATTGTACTCTTTTCTGTCTCTGCACGAAATCATTATTGAACATTTCGATCTAGCCTAACTTAAGACTAATAAGTAATTTAAATTTATCCTAATTTACTAAAAAGGATATTTAACATAAAAAAAAGTTATACTTCTTATACGGCATTATTAAAAAGAGTTATTGATTGCATGCAAATAATTAATTACAATTAAATAATCAAAGACTGGAAAAGTAGTCATTATAGTCAATAAAGTTCAGTTTACATTTGAAAAATTAAATAAATAATTATTTATTATTATTATTATTCTCTTACATTAAGTGTAACATAAATTCTATTAAGTTAAAAGTATATATTATTATATATTTAGAACATCTCTACCAAACACTAAGATGTATGTTGTAGCTTCGGCAGTATTGCAAAATATAGCCATTGATTTAAAAGAGGAACCTATCTCTGATGATGATGAAGAGACCCTGCCCTCACTACCAACAGCGCCCTCATCTCAAAATACACTGCGTGGAGCAGCAGTGAGAGCCAATTTATTGATGAAAACTTTTAAGTTTGATAGTTCCTAATTTAGGTTGTTTTAACAATTAAGTTATTTAAACAAATAAAACACTATTTATCTTAAAAACATTTTTATTTCATTATACTATTTATTTTTAAGTGACTCTAATGTCTTCATCAGAATTTCGGTTTGTAATTTTAAATTAATCATTACTTGGTTGTGCATCTCTGCCATATTCTTAACTTTATGTTTGTGTTCTATTTGAAGCTCTCATTTTCCAGAGCCCGAAAGCTAAGCATATATTGATACGAGGCTTCTCCAAAACTAAAACTACTACTTGCTTTCTGCAACAAATAAGAGAATATTAATTTAAGCTCTGTCCATGCTCCTTCCTGGAAGAACAGTCTATATATTAGTCAGATCAAAATCCGTTGTGTAGTTTAGAAAAACTAATTGCACATGCTACAGACCTGGATAGTAACTTTCTTTTATTCTATTTAGAGATAGAGATAATTTAAATATAATACCGGTGTCTTCCTTGTAGGTTTCTTTGGAGTTGTTTGGGGATTCTTGTTGTTCAGTTCGACGTGATTTTCTTTAACCTTTGGATTATAATCCTACAAAATAATGAAATTGTTAAGTTATGTTGTCACTGTTGTGCACACTTTTGTCTGGCTTTTGTAGTATTTAAGTTATGACAAAACTGATTTATTACCTTGTCATTGTTGGCTTTATTTGATTTTGGGATATCAATTGTTTCCAAAATGATTTTATTTGTAATATATAAATTGAGTCATTTGCCGTTGCTCGGTGCGTGTGCACGTGTGTGATTTCCTAAGTTTAGTGCAAAAAATTAGTGTTTGTGACGCTTGGATACATTTAACGGATCTTGTATTGCACGTGATCGGTCAAGAAAGTCTGAATAAAAAATTGGAGTCCCAATTAAGAAGTTTCGTATACAAATTTTAAATCAACATATCCTACATATATTATAAGAAGAAGACGAAGATTTGAGTAGTAACGAACGGTCGAGACTGAACGCAAGAATAGCTTGCCGCCAACGCGTCGCCGGCGAACGCATTTACGCTTCTTAGGGTGACAATTCTTTCGATATATTACCCTCAATCAGAACTTTTAAACGACCGCTTAAACTTCGAACTTGAAAATGCCCAAAGTTCTTCGTACCCCACCTGCAAGCAATTTGCAGCAAACATCTTCTGATTCTGATGTATCTAAAATTGCTTCTGACTTCCCCACTCCAACTTTTGTGTCCCAACGTAACAAAAGATTCCGCCAATCAAGTGACGACGATGGACTTCCCTCTTTTAGAGATGAGTTCAGGAGTATGTTTGAGGAGTGGCAAAAATCCCAGGATACAAAGTTATCAAAACTGATTGCCGAGGTTATTGAGATAAAAGAACAGAACAAAGATATCAAACGCTCTAACGATGAAATTGAAAAATCGATGATTATGATCAATGAACTGTACGAAGATATGAAGAGGAAGGTGCAAGCTCTTGAGACGCAACACAAGCAAAGTCAGCTTCACATAGCTCAACTAGAAATGAAACTAGACGACATGCAACGATCATCAAAAGCATCCAGTATTGAAATACGGAATATACCCTTGCCGGAAAAACCGGAAAGCAAAGCCGAACTCTGCCAGATTGTTCAAAACACAGTGAAAGCTCTTCAGGTGAAAGTCGATAAAGCCGCAATCAGAGATGTGTTCCGTCTAAATGGTAGAGCTGGGAAGGGTACCATTATTGCCGAATTTACATCGGTGATAACAAAAAACGATGTGATCAATGGCTGTAAGGCCTACAATAAACAACACCCTGCACAACGACTAAACTCCGCCGCCTTGGGTTTTAAAAGCCCACCGACACCAATCTACGTCTCTGAAGCACTTACCAGTAAAGGACGTAGACTCTTCTTCCTGGCCAGAGATCTGGCAAAGAGCCGTAATTACAAGTTCTGCTGGACCAGCAACGGAAAGGTGTTTCTTCGCAAGACTCCCGACTCATCCCACATTGAGATTAAGGATGAAAATCAACTCATCTCGCTGAAAGCAGAGATGTGACTAGAAGTAGTTTACTCTTTTCCAAAATTTGTGGTTAGTTTGCAATTGCTAAAAGTCACCAAAAACGAAACATTTATTTTACATTTTATTACCAGGATAACATATATAGTAAGTAGTTTTAAGATAATTATCTCAGTTTTTACTGTTTTTCAAGTACTTTTAAAATACTATAATATTAACACATGCCTATACTTATATATACATACACAAATACAAAATATTCAACTAGTAACGTGTGTCATCTGTCTCTTCATAAACGGAAATGGACAAGGATGATACTAATATTTTGCAAGAATTGGACACCATCTCAAACATCACTGCCCAACAGTGCACTATTGATACATTTAATCATAGTGCACTTCAAATTGTTCCCTTTCTCTCAGTGGTTACTCAAAATATAAGAAGCATCCATAAAACATCAAATATTGACGACTTGGACATAAATATATCAACATTTAACATAAATATCGATGCAATAGTTCTAACTGAATGTAGAATAAACCCTGACAAACCACTCCCTCAAAAACATAATTATGTGACATATAATAGCACGAGAAAGGTTAACCAAAATGATGGTGTTGTAGTCTTCGTGAGAGAATCAATCGAGCACAGAGTCAAAGAAATACATCTACTAGGAGCATCATGTCTTGAAATAACTTTCCCGACATGTGCTGAAAGACAAACATTGATTTGTATCTATCGCCCATCAGGGGATAAAAACATCGAAAAATTTATTGATTCATTGGATAAATACCTCATGTTACCTCATTTAAAAACAAATGTGATACTGACTGGGGATATCAACATAAATATAATCGACGGTAATAATGACAAATTTTCAGGTACATACCTTGACATGTTAGCAACTCATAGTCTCCTACCCGGCCATAACTTCGACACGAGGATAAATAGCTGTCTAGATCACATTATGACTAACTTGGATTCTAGTCACTATTCTGCATCAATAGCAGTGCTAGATACTACAATCACAGATCATAAAATGATAGTTATTTATGTTTATTATTTAAAAAACCATCATTCAGCACCTAAAACTAAATTAATGACTAATTACGATAAAGCACTAAAAACCCTTGAATCAAACTATGATCCAACTATCCTAAACACTGATGATCCTAATATTCAGGGCCGCGCCGCCCATGTGTGCGAAGTGTGCGGTGCACACAGGCGCTGATACAATAAGGGCGCCGCCACCGAAATTATTTATACTACACTACAATATTCTTACGTACGTTTGAAGTTTCATTTTACGCTTTAGGTTTTAGTTTACATTAATTACTCAGAGCTTAGCGAATCAAAAGAAAGGCCGCTGGTGACCGCCGTGAGTTTTTTGAGTGTGTTTATGTCTTATGATTTCAATAATATGCCGACATACCTTGATAAAATCCAAAATGAACTATTTTTTATACTCGGTAACCAAATTCAACATTTTATTTTAAATTTATGTCGAATTAATAAATATTTTTCAATAATACTGGATTGTACTACTGACGTTTCACACGAAGAGCAAATTAGTATGATAATAAGATTTGTCAACTTTAACATGTAAACTAGAAAGTTAAGAATAAGAGAGCATTTCCTAGCTTTCCAATTTATAATAGCACTTTCTGCTCAATCGTAGATACAACTGGCGCTGGAGTAACGTCATTTATAATAGAAAAACTAAACGAAATTAATTTGGACATAAAGAACTTAAGGGGCAAGGCTATGATAATGGCTCAAATATGCGCGGTAAGAATATTGCGGGATGTACGAGTAAATCTCCGCACTTTTTATGTCCGTGCGCCAGCCATAGTTTAAATTTAATAATAAATGACGCTGCACATCTCATACACGACTGCGTTTTTTAATATTGTGCAAGAACTATATAAATATTTTTCGTCCTCTACTAAAAGATGGGATTTATTACAAAGATATGTCATAAATCTGACCTTAAAAACGGTTAGATAAAAATAACATCATAAATAAACTATGTAACAATTTAATTCACGTTTTATTTTTCACGGCAATTGGCCAGCGGACGTTTTACCTATTTAAGTGGATTAAACTAAAGAAAAATTTTCTTTCAGTCAAAATTAAAAAATACATTGAAACTTGAAGATTCTTAAAAAATAGGCCGAAATATAGAAGGAGTTCCCTCAAAGGCCTGCAACACACCCGCTAAAAATGTCTATGAGATTCAATGACTGCCATTTTTTTCCGTCCCTAAGGCTCGTTTGA